GGATGTTCAACATGTTCATTCACAGTCGTAACTTCCTCCTCATTATCATCAACATTACATTCTTCGGCAACGGCTGTTTCATCATCAAAATTCGGGTATTGACCAATATCAATATCATTACACGCATGGTCTGTTTCTTCTTCTGAAACATCATCAAAATCCGTGTATTGACCAATATCAAAGTCCGGATATTGACCAAGACCAAATTTCGAATACTGACTAGTACTCACAATTTTTTCTGTTGGCTCATCATCGTCTAACTGGTCAATACGAAAACCGGAATTTGGTGCTGAAAGTTGATTGGGATTTGGATTAGAGAAAGGTTGTGGGTTTTGAGAAAAACTTAGTTGATTACTACCCGCTACTGACCCAACAATACTACTTCTAGGTTCAACAACATACAATGTAACATCATCTTGTGAAACACTAATGTAAGCAATGAATCGTTCAACATCTTCATTGTCGGTTAACAAATAAACTTTACCATTTCTCTGATAAGATAGCCTAAATCCACTTAGGGGCTCTAATTCAATTTATTTGAAACACGTAGCATTAGAGTTTCATAAGTTAACTTTTGTAAAGACAATTTTAGTTGAAGATTCATGGGTAAAGGCATATATTGTAAAACACCATGAACATTATCCCATGACCCTCCAAAACACAATCTATCCAAACATGATCAACATTAGATGATTTCATGGTTGTAAATTAATTTACTAAACAGACGAGCTGCGAAACTAAAACCTGTTGCCGGATTGGGAAGGATGTCGTTGGATATAGGAACGGATGTCGCCGGAGAGAGTGATAGATGGAGATGGAATGAGTTGCGATTTAGGGATTTAGTTTATGATTTCAGTGTTATATACCCAAAATTTAAGTGTTGTGATTTACAGATTCTCGTTGCGATTTACGGATTATCGTTGCGATTTACAGATTCTCGTTGCGATTTACGGATTATCGTTGCGATTTACGGATACGCGTTGCGATTTACGGATTATCGTTGCGATTTACGGATACGCGTTGCGATTTACGGATACGCATTGCGATTTACGGATACGCGTTGCGATTTACGGATACGCGTTGCGATATACGGATACGCATTGCGATTTACCCATACGCGTTGCGATTTACGGATACACGTTGCGATTTACGGATACGCGTTGCGATTTATGTGTTCGCGTTGCGATTTTCATATTCGCGTTGCGATTATGGAAAATCGAAATGCGAATTTGTACTATCGCATCGCGATTTTCAAGAATCGCGTTGCGATTTTGGAAACTGATTTGCGATTCTGGGGATCGCGTTGCGATTTTTATTTCGCGTTGCGATTTTGTTGGTCATTTTGGCAAATCCAAAAAAAGTTGGTTAAAATCGTATATTATAACTTTTTTTTGGTCACTGAGGCGATTCTCTCTAATTTAAATTCACAAAAAAATAGTACTGATTATAAAGTTATCGTTGAAGATTCATACTGTTTTTTCCCTTTCTTTTCGGTCTTGGTTTTCTCATTTGAAAACTCGTGTATGAAAACAACCGTACGGGGTTGGCTTCATTTACGGCAAACATTAATACGGCACCCTCTTCCTTGATTTGCGTGCATTTATGAGTGCATTCAATATGGTAACTACAAGGGAATGCTAGCTACTTGGTTAAAATCTACCATCATCCATGGAAGTTTATATATATGCCTGTGCTGACAATACGCTACAGCATAGACCGAAAGGTGTTGGTGCAGCAGCACCCTTAAATTTTTATTTTTTTATATTTTTTTATTAATTATTTAATTTTATACTCCCTAAAATTTTATTACTTTACACCTTCTAAAATTCTTAATATAACTTAAATTTATACCCTAACGTAATTTTTTGTGTCCATCCTAATATACTTTCTTTTTAACAAATTTGTTTTCGTTAGGCTGAAAGGCATCATAGTCCAAAATTAGCATTCCATTACCAAGTTGACCTCTTTTCATGGTGGTATAGCCTAGGTGATATTTGGTGAGCTTTAAGTCTTTTACTTAGCGTTGTAAATGAATAGGATTTTAATTAACAAGAATGTAATTGTGTTCGTCTATTTATTTTTTAAGATAATCACGTTTAATTCGTATTTTTTTTATTTTTAAAGTATTTGTGTCAGTTCGATTAAAGTTTATAAACATGTTTGTTTATATGTACAAAAATATTCATAAAAATGATGAAATTACACCAATAGTCTGTAAGCACCTTAAGATTTATAGTTTGAACTCCAAAATATACCATGTATTCAATTAAGATCATACATTTACTAATATTTAAAATATAAAAAAATAAAAGGAAAAAGAGAAGAAAGCAAACGAGCTTATAAACAAGCCAATAAACGAACATAACACATTTTTATTCGTGTTCGTTCGTTTATTAAATGAAGATAATAAAATTTGTCCATGCGTGTTTATTTAGTAATAAACAAACATAAACATATGTAATAAGAATGATGTACGAACAATTTACGGAATACTCTATACATTGGTACCTATAATTTTACTTGATTCATAGTATAAAAGACGTGAGTTCAAATTAATCTGAATAGTATAATCTTTACCTTTTAAATAATGGGATTATCTTCTAAAGGTTGTCTAAATGATAGAACGAGTCATACTAATTCAATTGTTAAACTACTAATATAATGATGATCAGATTATTATGTTAAGATGGTGGTGATGATGTCAAACAAGGGAATATGAACCCTAGCTTTGTTCAAAGCTGAGACTTCTGATACAATAATTGCCTTTGAATGAAAAATTTGAAAGAGAGAAATCACTGAAGATGTATTTGTAAATGAAAAAAGAAAACACTTTTCTTTCTCCATTTTTCACATGGATCGACGACAAATCATTAGACAAAATGCCCCAAAAGGTGGGTACGACTCGTTTTCACGGTGGGTACAATATTGAATTGGCTCTTTCGGATAAAAAGGACAAATATATACATTTCTTTTAACAATGGAGACTTTGCTTTTTGGACGTATGAAATCAATAATTCTGGGTGTGGGTCATATGGTTGTTTATCTGAGGGGACGGCTGCTTCCCACTACAAAATATATTTAATGCTACCTTTAGATCATCATGTAATCTCTTATGCTTTAATAATGCCTTCTCAAATTTGTTTTGTGTTAATGCAACTTGTTGGAATTTGGAACTCATCAGACAAAATGTTAACAATTTGAGGTTGAAAACAACGAGGCACACAATCCATGACTCAAGTACAAACCATCCAAAAAAGAACCACAATCCCATGGGGTCTAGTGGGGCTGAGGATAAAATATTTAATGGCACTATGTACGAGAGAGTAACACTTTTGATTGTTTAATCTATATATTGAGGGTGAGTGTTCAGTCGAAATGAATTATGTGAATAATTTTAAATTAATTAAGTCGATGAGTATTATTTTATTATTAAATTATATTTAAAATTTTATATATGTCTAATTCAATCTGTTATATTTATTTAATTTTATGTTTAATTTTAATTATAATTATTTAAAATATTATAATATCGATCAAATTTTGTTTAAACAACTACATCTAACCGTATATAATGTATACATTGTCATTATCTTTTAACATGTGTAAGCAAAATAAGTTATAATTCAAAATCAACACGAACTCGAAAGTTAAATCGTTAATTTATATCAGATAAAATAAATCAATTTAAATGATTTAAAATTTTATAACATTTTCTTATAAGAAATCAACTTTTACTCTTCCTACGTACACGGTACACCCGGGAAAAATTACATAGTTATCAACAAAAAATAGACATTATCCGTTAGAATTACGTTCTTTACAACATAACAATCACCATAAAGATGCCCCAATCTCTCTTGATTTGTTATTTTTATTGCCTGAAAAAAAAACTCCAAATTATTATTAATTGTAAAAAAGATTAATGTTGTCATCAAACAAATTGTGATTCGGTTGGGTTCCGATCCGATCTGACATGACTGGGTCGAATTTTTTTAAAAGAATTTTAGGTTTAGGTTAGGTCGGGTCTGATTTTTTAAGGGGTAAAGTTAGGTTCGGGTGGAGGTGAAAAAATTCTGACCCGATCCAAGGATAATAATGTAATTTTCTTAAAATTTTTATTATTTTTAATTAAATCCATAATTTATACCGAATCGGGTCGGATTTATACACTAAAAATCAAGTCGGGTCAGAGTCGGGTCGATGTAGGATATAAATTTTTTTTGATCAGGTCAGGTTGACCAAAAACCCTACTCATTGCCATCCCTACTTGGGTTAGAGAATTTGACCAAAAACCCGACCAAAACAGATACTACATTATAATCTCATACTATTAAAACATTTATTTTATTACAATTTTTAGTCCAACCATTTTTTCACTAAACAAAGTCTTTAATCAATAAATTAATGTTTTAATTACTCTAATAAACACGTTTGGTTAGTTGGTCAGATGGCCAAAGGTTATATTTGTTTCTTGGTATACGTTTAGGTCATGGATTCTAGAATTCACTATAAACTCTCTCATTTCTTTCTCTAGAATTCATCTCTCTTTCTTCTAAGTAAAATTATAGTTATATTTAGAATTTATAAAAAATACTAAATACAAATCAAATCCATGTTAAGGTCTGTGACCAACAGTTTTTTTTTTGACTAATCTGTGAACAACAGTTAAACCTATGAGTTAGGGACAAGAACATTCACCTTAAATTCAGGGAAATCGTTTGCTTGTAATAAAAGGCTAACAATAATCAGATATAACCACCCTAAATCATGCCTCTCTTCAAAGCCTTTAAATGGGTAGGCGGCAGGATTCGACGGGTTGGTTTTTACGGAATCGGCCGATGGGAAGGTCAAGGTGCGGAGGAGAGAGTACCCAGGGAAAAGAACCAAACATTTCTTTTCACAGACATTGCTGAAACAAGGCTGTTCTGTCACGGCATTGGCTTTGAGCCCGGATGCTACGGTTGTTTACTGTGGCTCTGGGAACGTGAAAACCAATTCTCTCACGGCGGTGTTTTGAGAGGCCATAAACGGGCCGTTCTCTGCTTGGTTGCCACCGGAAAGCTTGTGATCTGTGGTTGCAGCCCTTTCATTAGAATTTCAGGTTGCTTAATTAACTCGAAAACACTTATATCACCAACACCAAGGTGATTATCTTCTGCAAATGCATGCCAACCACCATAGAACTCTGCTTGCAGAATTGTATTTCCTGCATTCCTACGGTACTTCACAGGCCAAATTTTCTCAGCTGAGTTGCTTAAGGTCAGATTACACTTTAGCATTGTCAAATATTCCCAAGCAAAGTCCGAAGGTATGCCCTGGAATTTAATGGAAGAGAAATCTAGAGAATGAAGTGCTAAGTTTGTAATTTTAATCTACTTGGAGTCGGTCAAATGGTGATTTACAGATTAGCCAGGTTCTAGCTTTAAAGGTTACCATTCTATAACGATTAGACAAGGATGATGGTATCATGACGACAATAAAAACTGGGTTTCCAGTACTCTTCCATGAACTGGCTATCTGAGCAGCGTATGCCTTTTCAGTGGCTGTCAAATGTTGCAAACAACTGAATGTCTCAGTTTTCACACTTCTCTCTGCTGTAACTACAAAAATAAAAGATGACAAGAGCATCTCAAATTTTTTGGTATCTCAAAAGTAACCCACTGCAAAATTGAAATATAAAATGCATACCATCAAGCTTTCCTGATGATTTTTCAACTTTCTTGAGATTTCCGTTGATCTTGCTAGGCTTTGATTCATGAGGGCTAGTGCTAGAAGATGAAATCTCTAAATTGAAATTGTTTCCCTGTTGAGTAGGTGAACAGATTTTCAATTTCTTGAGGCAGAGGACTAGACAAATGTGATTTCTCTTTACTTTTCCTACTCACTGAAACATCATCAAAAAGGTAGACAAACATGTCATAATCAACCTATGGAGCACTCTTATAAAAATTTTAGTTTTCAGGCAAGGGGAGTAATATATTTAACTTATGTACTCGATGAAGATCGACTTGCAATATCGGCCTATTTTTTCCTGGTTGATGTTATTGGCTGCATCTTGCCCATAAGGTCAGGTTTCAGACGTTGCAAATCACCTGATTCCCCCCGTTTTCATGTTTAGCTGAATATTCGAATTCACCTGTAAAGATTGGAGCTTTTAAGGCAATAAATCCATGGTTCTAACTTGACTGGATATGATCTTATGAACTGCTACGAAAAGAAACAAAGCATCTCTACAGATCGTCATGTAAACAAACTTATCATTAATCAAATGACCATGTAACAGGTCCTACTAACCTTGCTGTCTGCAAGCCTTGACAGCATTTTCATCAACCGGATAAATGGACACTTTCGTTAAGATTTCTGTGTGCTTAATTAACTCAAAGACACAGATGTCACCAACTTTAAGATGATTATCTTCCACAAATACCCGCCAGCCTCCATAAAGTTGTGCTGACCCATTTTTATTTTCTGCATTTCTATAGTACGTCATAGGCCAAGTTTTCCCACCAGAATTGCATAAGGTCAGATTACACTTGAGCCCTGTTAAAAATTTCATGGCAAAGTCCAATGGTATAACCTGGTATATAAGAAGGGCAAACAGAAAACAGAATATGAAATGGTTTCAGCTAAACAAAGATTAAATAGTTCACAACTTTGGGAAAAATGGTAACTTTGAGGTTATCAAATATGTTACCATGTGATATTTAGAACCAACAGAATATGGTCGCATGACCACCATGAAAACTGGATTTGCAGTACTGTTTTGTGAAAGCACTAGCTACGCGAATTGCCCGTTCCTTTTCAGGGTCTGTCAACTTTTGCGAACAGCTTAAAAACTGATCAGTTTTCACACCTTGACGAGCTGAAATTATTCATGAAGTTGGAAATCATAGTACGCAACAAAATCAGGAGGAAAAACGAAAAAAAAAATGAGACTATTACTTCTGAAAAATATCACTGCAAAGATTGAAATAAAAAATGCACACAATCAACATCTCCTGTAGAACTACGTAAGTTTTCATTTTTCTTGAAATTTTCAAGATTGATCTTACTAGACTTGGAGTGCTCAGAGCTGATGCCAGAAGATAAAATCTGTAACTCCAAATTTCTTCCAGGTTGATTAAGTGAATCAATCCTCATTTTCTTCCGAGGCAGAGAGCAAGGCAAACGTGATTTCTCTTTTCTTTCCCTACTCACTGAAACACCATCAAAAGGTTGAGAAACAGATCATCAGCATCTTCATTGCTAGTATATGGATGGGAGCTATGAAGCACTCGTATCAGGATGATTATATTTAACTTTTATACTCACCTAATCTCGAAGAAGTCCAACTTGGAATATCAGAAACTGAAAAAACAGTAACTTCCAACTAGTCTTCATTTTCCTTGATCAATTCAAAGACTCATTTGTCTCCAACTTTCAAGTTATTGTCCAGCACGAACGCTCTCCATTTATTTCCAAGAAACTTGGCTTTTACACGTGTACCGGTTACATTTCTTCTGTAGTTCATAATCCAAATCCTCCCATCTGAAACTTTCAGAGTGATTTCCCCGCTTTTCTTGAAATATCTCTCGGCAAATTGGCATGGTTTGTTCTGCCAAAAGAAAAAGAAGTTAAAATGAAAACGAATTTTTAGTTCTTAATCAGAAAAGAATATTCATATAAACTTCTTTTCTATTTGCTAAGCTTGAATTTTATTTTGAAATAAACAGATGAGTCAATAGAAGCTTTTGAGCCAAATTTTACCAAAGAACCGCTGGTAAGAACATACGATGGCTGCATCACAACACTGAAAGAGGGATTTGCAGATTTGAAAGCACTAGCTAGTAATAGTATACAAGCTCTTTGTTTATCAGTTGTAGTCAGTGGTTCCTTTTTGCCCATAAGGTCGGGTTTCGTACATCACCAAGCACCTGATTCCCCTCCATTATAATGTTCCGCTGAACATTTTGATTTACCTGCTGAAGATCAAAACTTCTAAGACAATAGATTTGGAAACAAACCATTACTTACTCAAAATAAAAAATATTTAAAGAAAAAGATTCTCACCCTCAAATTCTTTTCTTAAATTTTGGAAATCCATGCTCTTCTTATGCTTCTCGAGCTCCGAGTCTTTAAATTCTGCCGAGCTGGAGGAACACCGAGCATGTTGACAATCAGTATTCGTTTCACTGACCGAGCTCCTTGTTTTTACTCCACAGCATACTCTCTTATCAGCTGTTACAAAACGAAATGATAAAGAAGAAATAAAAAATCTCTATAGATTGCCATGGAAACAAACTGATCAATCAATGGCATATATAGCAGGTTCTTCACGCCTTGTGGCATGTAGGCCTTGCTTGCATTTTTTACGACCGGATGGATTTCCACTTTCATTAAGATTTCAGTGTGCTTAATTAGCTCGAAAACACATATCACCAACACCAAGACGATTATCTTCTACAAATGCCCGCCAACCATTATGGAGTTGTGCATGCGGATTTTTATTTTCTTGATAGCTATAGTACATCATGGGCCAAGTTTTCCCAGTGGAGTCGACTATGTTCAGATTACCCTTGCGCTTTGTCAAAAAATTCCCGGCAAAATCTGATGGTATAGCCTGAAATCTAAGAAAGGAAAAGAAACCAGCATATGCACATTTTCACTCCAAACAAACCATAAATAGTTCACCACTTTGGCTCAGCAAATGACGATATGTTACCATATGACAATTATAACGAACAGACGATGGTTGCATGAACACCATGAAAACTGGATTTTCAGTCCTTTTGAGAACAGCAGCTATCTGGATTGCCTGACCCTTTTCAGTGGCTGTCAACTTTTGGGAACAGATTGAAACCATTTTCACCCTTTGGCAAACTGAAATCCCCCCAACTCCTGTCATAGATGGAGGATCTCATATTATGCAACAAAATCGAAAGGCAGAAAAAAAATGGCATGAACATCTCAAGAACCACTGCTGAAATTGAAATAAAGAATGCTGACCATCAGCTTGTCGTTTAGAAACTACATGATATTTCATTTTTCTTGAGATTACCAGGCTTAATCTTTCCAGAGTTGAGGTCATCAATGCTAATTGGCGATGATAAATTCTCGAACTTCGAACCAGTCCCAGGTTTACATGGTGAATCAGTTCTCATTTTCTTTTGAAGGAGTGGACATGGCAAATCTGATTTCTCTTTCCTTTTCCTACTGGCCGAAACATCACCATCGTCATCTTCCGTTCTAGTGTATGCATATTCGATCTCCGAAGCACTTCAATAAAAAATTAACACATGGAAATGACCATTCCCTTCGAATCAAAAAACCAAAAAAGACCCAATATCTAACGAGTAATGCTCTGCAAATTCTCTCCAACCCTTTTGCAACCGCACCCTTCCATCACTCTTTGTAACTCCCACCTGCCATATTGCACCACTTGGGACCTCAAGCTTAACGTTACTTGGCAGTTGATTTCCATATTTTCTTATAAAACTTCTAGGAATCCCTGATGATGACCGTACACAAGCATGGTCAATTAATTAAATTTCAAAGAAGGAAACTGATTAGAAAGTAGAAAATCAAAATGGAGAAGAAGGAATACTTACAAGTAGCCCGGATCGAATAGAATCCTGAATAATTACTTTGAAAAATGGGGAGTTTTAGACGTAAACATGGAATGATTGTTGTCTCTATGATGATGAGAACTCATATTGGAAGCCAGTGGAAGAGTATGTTCAATTGTTTCCTGCATGAGCATTTAAACAAACAGCATCGGAGCTTATTTTCTCCTCCATAATTTCTTTAAATAATAATCATCCGGCATAAAACTTGGCATTCATAAAAAATAAACAATAAACAACAAGAAAACTAGTGCAATGTAAAATCTGCTGCATCATTTTATGCTGAAAGATACTTATTTCCATAGCAAAACAGCATATACGAATAAGAAAGATAATAAGAACCTAAAGACTGTGCGTTAGTTTCAAAGAAGCCGATAGCAGAGTCTAAATATTACCGTGCTTAGCTTCCCTTTAATATTCTCCTTTCCCTTCTGTTCCACAAACACGAAGCAATAACAAAAAAAAAAAATACAGAGCTTCTTGAACAGATATCAATAAAACAAAGGTTCTGCTACTGAATGTAACAAAAAAAACTGGGATTGCTGGTGAAGGAACCGCCTTAGCAAAAACTGGGGAATTGCTAGTAATTAAAGAGAATTTAATACAATTTTAATGATAGTACCAGCTATTCGAGGTTGATTTACTGTTTGCATGATGATAGAAACTAAAAGATCAATTCATTAATGACAAAAAAGAGTTTGGTAGGCAAAGTTTCCTTTTTTTTGCAGTATTTTAAATTTATCCATTTCCACATGTGTTTACGTAAATCTAGAGTTATCTGAAATTTGCAGGTTAATAGGCTAGGATTGGATATCCAAATCGACTACTTCAACAACACAACAACAGTTGGACAAATTATTGGGACCATCAAAAGCCAAAGATTATATTTCCAAGAGTTCCATCTTCTCAATTACAATTGGTTCCAATGATTTTCTCAACAATTATCTTCTCCCACTTCTTTCCACTGGAACAAGGATTTCCGAAAACCCCGATGCTTTTATCGATGACATGATCAATCACTTTCGGAACCAATTAACAGTACACTCCCGTCTTTTACACATGCATTTGAGTCCAAGAAACATGGTTTAAAATTGATTAAGTTGTTCTGTTGATGGTGGCAGAGACTATACCAACTCGATGCTCGGAAGTTTGTCGTCGGAAACGTCGGTCCAATCGGTTGCATACCTTATCAGAAAACCATCAATCAATTGAAGGAAAACCAATGTTTTGATTTGGCAAATAAGCTAGCAATGCAATATAACCGGCAATTAAAGAATTTGCTGACTGAACTAAATGGGAAAGCTCCAAGGAGCCATATTTGTTCATGCCAATGTGTATGACCTAGTGATGGAGCTCATCACAAATTATGCAAAATATGGTATTAACTTCTATACACACATCTCGGGTCTATTTTTTTCGATATTTAAAATTAAGAATAAATTTTTTATTTATTTTGTACGTAGGTTTCACAACAGCAAGCAAAGCATGTTGTGGAAATGGAGGGCAATTTGCGGGGATAATTCCATGTGGACCAACATCAAGCTTGTGTGAAGATCGAGAAAAGCATGTGTTCTGGGATCCTTACCATCCAAGTGAGGCGGCCAATCTTATAAGCGCATGGCAACTTGTGTATGGAAGTACCAAATATATTTCACCAATCAATCAATCTTCAACAGCTTCGTAATCTCTAGCTGTGCTTATGATTGTTATTATTTTCATTTCCAATTCACTGTCTGAATAAAAAAAAATATTATTTCCGTAATAGTTTATTCAAAAAAACTTTATCACGAGTATAACAAACTAATAAAAAAATTGTTCAAAGAAACAGTAGACCAGCTACCTTGTTAAGACTTAAATTGCTGAGGCAAACAAACAAGTAGGTGGCTTCAATTTGATCGATGCTTGTCCTCTGTTACACGTGTTGAAAACTAATACAATCGCGAGCTGTCCTTAAATATCGATGATTTAATTCATAATCTCATTATGGTTTGAACAAAGAAATGGAAGCAAATGTCAGTTATTGTGGGCGACCGAATAAGCACAAGTGGAAGATTGGTGATTGCCACAGTGCCTTAGGTTTTGTTAGTTGCTGATAATGACACATCATACGGTGCTGGAGACACTTAGATAGCTACTCGGCCCTTCGCGTGCTTTCCCGACTCCGGGGTTGGGGGGGGGGGTGCCTAACCCCAACTTTCAACCGACAGCGCCGGTCCATCACACACTGCTCTCACTGTGCTTTCTTCCCCCTACCCTTCACCTAATTACTTTGGTTTTATATGCTTCTATGTACTGTTCAAACGCACACTTGTTTTGGATTCTTCTCCATCCCATTTAACTAGGGATATAAATAGACATAGAGTTCAATGAAACATTTGTTTATGTATATTTATTAAATGAATAAGTTTATTATCGACTTGTTTATAAATTTATTTATCGACTCGTTTATAACTTTATTTCTTAGCTTGTTTTTCACCTCATTTATTTGGTTTTCCTTTTCCCTTTAATATTTATATTTTAAATATTGATAAAAATATAGACTAAATTAAACATAAAGTAAACTTTGAAGTTCAAACTATAAAGCTTAAGTAAATAAAAGACTAGTGGTGTAATTTCATCATTTTTCTTTGAGTTGCAAATAAAAGAAGGAAATGAGTGTTATTAAATGAACGTTATATTTACGAACGTTAAATGAATAAACACGAATAACTTCAAAAATAAATAAACAAACAAAAACTGAACATAGACAAATTCAAAAATAAATAAACGAACACAAACGTAATTTTATTTATTCAAATTCAATTCATTTACGTCCCTACATTAACTACGGTTTTTCATCTCATTTGAAATGAAAATCTTGAAGAAGAAAATGTTTTGCACATTTATATTTTACCCATTATCCATGGTTGATCGAGATTATGATGCATAGGGGTTCCAAAATATGTAGTAGGCTCCCACAAGGTGGGACAGTCGGTTAGGTGTTTGTCAAAATGAACAAAATGATTAGAGATAAATGGTTAGGTGTTATTTCATCTGAAATGAACAAAATGATTAGAGATTAATTAGATTATGGTTTATCCGTTTGAACGTAGTATTTTTGCGAGATGATATTTTTTTTATTTATCTGAGTTAAGCATTGTAATTCTCGAGAGTCAGCCTAGTAATTACTCCAGAGTTAGAGTAATCACATTTACTTCATAAATAATTTATCGATGAAAATTTATTTAATGAATTATTTTAAAAAATTATTAAATACGATATCAAAATAAACTTATGCCATAATTTAAAGAGGTTATAAAAGCAAAAATTTAACCTCGCGTAATATGAAATTGAGACTCCTCCTCCGATAGTCAAACCAACTATACATTTGAATAATCTAAAAATAGAAACAGAAACAGATAGGGATGAGAATTTGATATGAGTTTGATGGGTTCCGAATCGATCCTATAGGGTCAGTTTTTTTAAAAATCAGGTTCGAATCGAATCATATTACATGAGAGAAATATCATATTCAGGTCGAAGTCGAATTTAAAATTACAAAAATATCCTATTTCATTTCTCACCTTCTTTCTGTCGTTCCTCTCTTTCTTTTTTCTGCTGTTCTTGTTTTTCCTTATTTTTCTGTATTCTTATTGCATTCTTTTATTTGTTTTTCACTTTATCGTTTAGAATTTTGTTTTCATTTTCTTCAAATCAGTAACAATCGTATGTTTCATCTCAATTTTGCAATAAGTTTTAAAATTATTCTGCCGGTGGTGCACTCTACAATGGCCCAGACGACGACCGGCTTGAACATAACCAAAAATGGAATAATGAAAGCTTAAAAAAGTGGTGGTAAATCGCAGCAGTTCCATCAACGAGAGGGGGGGGGGAGGGGGGGGAATGATACTTAAATATCCTAATAATTGGGTTTATTATGCCCAAAGTTCTCAGCATTTCATTACTTTGTCAATCAAGCACAAAAATTCCTAACGATTTTAATTTAACCCCAAATTTGGGATGTGACAAGTATAATGTTATATTTGTTTAAAGACAACTTTCAGTTATTTAATATTAATCGTTCAAATCTCTAATATTTATGGTACTCAAATTCGGAATCTCAAGAAATAACAATGATTTTAAGGGTAAAGTACACAAATGGTCCTCCAATTATATGGTACTACTTTATTAAGTCTCTTGACTATTAAAAGTTACAAAATTATCCTCCAACTATAGAGTATTGCTTTGTCGAGTCCCCCAACTATCAAAAGTTACAAAATGATCACCCAACTATCCATTATGTTCCAAACTCTTCATTTTTCGTTAGAAAATTGGCGGTTGTCTAAGTTAGACGTTAACATGATGACGAAGATGTGATAGTCGTTTGAGATTTGGGGATTAGATTTTTTTCATATCACAGTCAGTAAGTTAATGTTCAACTCAGAATACTGTCAATTTTTTAATAGAAAATGATGATTTTGAAACATAATGAAAAGTTGAGTGACTATTTTGTAACTTTTAATAATCAAGGAATTTAATAAAATAATATCTTATAGTTAAAGGATCATTCGTGTACTTTACCCATTTTTTCACTACCGAAATCACTTAGTACATGTGATGAGATTTTAGATAAGATATTTTAAATTTGAGTTACTTTACTTCAATTTATTCAAATACAAATATAAACCGAAAAATTAGTTGTATGCTAAAAAAAATTTGTTTATATTTATTTCGTAATTCATAGTTATATATTGAAAAATTATGCCGACACAAATGGAGTTACGAAGTTGAATTATATCTCGTTGTTAATCACTTTTTTATCATAAAAATTTAATAAATTTTAAAATAAATTATAAACTTGTTAACAGTATTTCTTCTTCGGAGATTAGCAAAGGATTTTTATTCTTTATTTGTATTTTAATAAGATATACTTGCTTTTATGGTCAGACATTCAAGTAAATCTTTTATGATAATTAAATTCATGATAAGGTTCAAAATAAAATAAAAACAATGCCACCTGATTAAAATCAAGGGATTTTACGATTATGCGTTAACGATTAAGGGTTTGTTTAGGTAGGAAATACTGCACATGCTTATTTAAATACATTATACTATTTCAAGGGCTTTTTTTTTTAACAAATAAACCGTAAAATATATGGTATTCGCATTGATATGTGTTTTAAGTGTAAACGGCCTGAGTGAGTTTTAAAATTAATATTATTGGGTTACACCACTGTTTTTATGGGTAAACTATTTATTTGTAGGATCGGTCCTGACTATTTTTTAGTTCGAGAAATAAAAAATGGGCTCTAATTTAAAATGCGCTCTCTTATTTATTTAAAGAAATATTTTCTAATATATTTTTCTCAACACATAACATAACATTTTGAAATAAAAGGACGATCTTATCCAGGGTCGGTCCAATGAGTTTTAATTTTCTGGGCGAGATAATAATTTTATGACCATATACTTGTACCGTATAATAGACAAAACATAAATAATTTTTTTAAAACAAAAATGTAATAGAAATTATAGTCAAACAATATCAATACTAATACAAACCAAAACCTACAAGGCTACAAATGTCACCTAAAACGATGTCTTCGTATATTTTTTGAAACAAAAACCTCTATTATTTTACGATAGGAGGACCTGAAACATTGTCTAGAGAAAAGGGATATGGTCTTTTCATGCCAACCACCCACAAGTTGTAACCAAATTTACATAACATCAAAGGTTTAGAAGAGAAAGAACGATGCATTCCTGAACTCAAAACTTAGCTCAATTCGCTCATGCAGATACTTTTTAAATGTGGTAGTTGGCAAATTCAAAGTTCGAATCTTAACATAAGTCTTCTCTATCAGAAAAGTTTAACGAGGTAGTCGAAGAATAGGAAAATAGATTCCATATGCTAAATACAAATTCGGGGCCAATTCGTTACTACACTTCGAGGATGGGTTTATCATAGGATTAGTTCATGCCAACCACCAAATTCACACACTATAGAGAAAGAATAAGCATTCCTAAGTGAACTCGAAACTCAAATGGTTCATGTAGTCATCTTCAAAAACTGGCATCTAATAAATTCAAAGTTCGAATCCAAGCATAAATTCTTCCTCTATTAGATAAGTTTAACCGAGTAATCTAAGAATAAGAGATGCTAAATGCGAATCACAGCATAGTAGTAAATGGAAAGAATTGAAGGGAAATTGTGCATAGGTAATAAGTTTCCGACAAGTTTTCGGTAGAAAAAACCTAGATCAAAGGTAAATATGGTTATGTAGTGTTTAATGTGAGATTTATGATTTAAACAGATAACTACTTTTTTCAATCAAGTTCTTAAATCAAGATCAGTCGTTGGAATCTCAAGATCAAAGTGCAAGTCAAGGTGCCAGTCGAGAACATGTACTGATTTTATATCAAACACATCATGTGTTTCTGTGTTAGATTTTGACCTGAGAAACATAAGTTCACTCACTGTGTTAGATTTGGAAAGTTTCTCAGGGCCTTTAATGTACATTCCATGGCTTCCAGCGTAATATAGCTCAGCCAACTTGACAAAGTTATATACCTTGCAGTTTTCAAAACAACAAAAGATTTACCAATTGTGTGAACATTAAATAAAGGATCAAATTTTAATGCCTGAAAATGTACCTTGTCCCTGCATCTACCACTCACTATAGCTGTAGGGAAACATTTGGCTACCTTTCTCACCGTCTTTCTCATCTGGTGTACACAAATCATGTGAAATTAATGTCAAATTTATAGATGAGAAGTACCCAAAAATTTTATGCAAAGAATAGTCGTGGTGTCATGTGAACAAATAACTAACCTTCTTGGACATAAAAGCTCGATCTTGTTCTGCAACAATCGGAGAAAGAGTGCCATCGTAATCTAAAAACATTACTATTTGTTTCCCTTTCGAAGCATCTATTATCTGCTCGAACATATCCAACGCCGATGGATGGTGCAGCTAAACAATTTCATCAACCACAGAAAGTCAGAATCTTTATTGCCTTTGAAAAAAATGAAAACCCATTTTGGTTCAAGGCTTGAAACAGGTAAGAACTCACATTCAAGGAACCTTCATCATCGGCAATGAAAGGTATAGACTTAATATGAGTTGGGGAAGAAGCTCTCATGGAATCGACCCATGCGCTAACCCTTGCTCCTACACTGATTTCAAGGTTCTGAAGCAATTTCTTGCGTGAAATGGAGAGAAAACCGGGTGGTGCAGGCGGTTTTTGTGCTGATTTTGCATCAGAGGCCACATTTTGACAAGCGACTATGTTCTTTGGTATTTCTTCAAGGAAACTCACTGCAACAGACAACGACAACCCATATTCAGGACCGTGTAATATAGAAATTAAACCCTAAAAAACTGCCCCAACATGCTTTCCTGGGCCGTCGTCAATGTGACACATGTGTTGGGTTGCCTTTGATCTTATCTATAATTTAAAAATATATAATAATCAAAAGAAAGAATTTAAAAGCATGACCTACCTAAAATTTAAGAACAATATTTAATATGATTTAAGCACCACAATTGCTGATAAAAAATTGTGACCTTGTATTTGTAATAAATATGATAAATTAAAAAGTTAGAGTAATAATTTTAAGAGGAATTGTGGAATATGAAAGGGAAAAGAAACATGTTAATTTTACTCAATATTTTCCTCTCATTGAGTTTTTGAAGTGAATAAATAATGTTAATAAAATTTCCATTGATATGGGGAAATCGAGAAAGAGATCTGTTGAGTTGGTGGTGGGAATTTAGTAAGACTAAGATTAGAGAGATTCGTTTGAATTTTTTTTTTAATTTGAGAAAGAAATATTGAATTAAAGTTTTATGAGAAGTTGAACAATTTATTATCGTTTTAATAAATATTGAAAATTATAAAAATTTAATGATAACAACTAACAATTTAATAAATTCATGGGTATATTATTTTATTTTACAGTTTTTTAAATAATTTATTAAAAAATTAAATTGATTTTTTTTAAATTTGTGGTCCCTGGGCAAGCACCCCTCCTTTTTTTTGTATTTTTAATTAGATTATCTAATTATTTTTTTTAGGAAAAACACCCAACAAAGTGGATGATTACTTGGCGTTTTTACCCAAAAATCACCCTGACATGAATTAATTACATGTCAGACATCGTTTTAGAAAATTTTACCGATATAGCATTTTTCTAACAAAGTGCGAATGGTCATCTGTGCCTTTCCTTTACGTGGCGCCACGTAATGAAAGCGCAGATGGTCATCTGCGCCTTATTCGAGCTGGCGCCACATAAGGGAAAGGCGTGGATCATCATCCATGTAACACCCCCAACCCGTATCTGACCCAGATACGAATCTGAGGTGTCACATTGACTTTTCAAAACATCTACTTTTTTAAAAGATATTTGAAATTTAAACATACATTTGTATAAAAGTGATGGAGCCATGAATCCATAAGTAATTATGAAAAATTAAACTAATTTTGAAAATAAAAACTAATAATTTACATAAATCCAACAAGTATGTTTACAAAATTTAATCAGAGCATATTTGATTTAAACTTTCATTTACTTGTCAACAAAATAACATATAACAAAAGAACATACAACTTAAATCGATTATGATATGATCTTCTGTAGAGCTATGATGTCTTGACTTGCCTTAATCTTGCTCTCCCAACTTATTTGAACCTACCTGTGAAAATCACTCACACGCTAAGACGTTGACTTAGTGAGGCATATAATGCATAACTGAAAAAATGAAACATGTAATCACATACTTTTATAATGTATAGGAAACATCATATATTTAATCGTCAAGAACATATATCATCATAATTTAACCAACAAGAACATATCACATTATGCATTGTTAATTCATGTTATGTCATTTAATAGCCCATGGTACATTACTGAGAACTTAAGGTATGTGAGTGCATTGAGGTTGTGCACAAATGCTATCACCACAACTCATATAAATTGCACCGAAGTGCCACATAAAAATGTCCCGAAAGACCATATAGTATTGTCCCGAAGGACTGCGTAGAAATGTCCGGAAGGACCACGTAGAATTGTCCCGAAGGACCGCATAGAATTGTCCCGAAGGACCGCATAGAACCCTCGACTCTAGGCATGCCAATTATACCCTCAGCTCTCATATCACATACTATGGGATTTACCATTTATATATTTCACATAACTTGTGTCAGATAGACATATAATCACATAGATCCCTTTCACATAACTTATATCATATTTTCAAGTAATCATATAACTCAATGTTGCATAACTTATTTCACATTTTCATGTAATCACATAGGATAATATGTAACACATAAATCAGGTAGAACAATGCATATAACACATAACATATACTCATAGTCATGTATACATAGAAACCATATTAACAACATATTAGTATTCATGCAATCATGAAATAAAAATATTGGAAATAGACTCATCACAAGTCTAATTTCCATATAATCATATCTTATAGTAATATGCACTCACCTTAGTCTCACTTAGTCAAATCAACGCTTATAACTCTTTATCTCTCTCTTGCTCAACTTATATATTTGATTCGTTCGGAATTGACTTTCATTCAGTATTTACACAAATATATGACTTATATGAATATCGGAGTTCAATCACTATAAATCAATCCTTAACAACTTAAATTAAACAAAGCACCTAATTCAACATTTCAATCTGAATAGTATTGGTACCCAAGGTACAATATCGATACTTCCTCACTGGGGTATCGATACTATACTTCAATATCGATACCCTTCATACATATTGGAATTCGGTTCTAAAAATGGTATCGATACTTTAACATTGGTATCGATACCCTTAGTATCGATGTTACTCCTTCGGTATCGATACTCTATGAAGAATTCATCAACTTTTACCTTATGGTATCGATACTGTTCATCCAATATCAATACCCAAACACAAATATTACTTATTTTTGCCTTGGAGTATCGGTATTGTTCATCTAGTACCGATACCTCTTGCCCAAAACTTATTTGTTTAACTCAAAAATTTTCTAAAACTTTTCTAAACTCCCCACTTTACTCTCCTTTTAAGCCTTTAAACTCAACTACACTTATCCAAATCAACTTATATCACTTTAACACCTCTAACATCCAATGTCTCACTAGCATACTTTAAATAAAAAATCACACTAATTAATCCACGTTGTTCTTAGTCCTTTCTAAAACTTCAGATTTATTATTTCACAAATTTCACTTCAAAATTCATTTACTAGCTCTTTCTCAATAATTCACTCAAAAACCCTCTTTTCTTAATCATCCATAACTTATCCATCTTTTAATTTTAAGCAATCCTAAGCTTTCCTTAATCTTATAGATCACCCAAAGACCAAAAACCAAACTTAATAATTTCAAGAAATAATCAACTTATAAGAAACTCACATTTGAAATGGGGCTCACGGCTAAAGGAAGAAGAATAAGAGAAAAATATTTCCAGATACTTCTTCATTTCCCTATTTCCCACATATATATTACACCACTTAAGATATTTTTAATTTATTTCTTGTATAATGACCAATATGTCCCTTCCTCTTTTAATATTTTCTAATCCATCCTATATAAAGAAATTCCTATTAAATCCCTAAACTTTTCATTTTATCCACTTAAATCACAAAATTTCAAAATCTTACCTTTTGTTCACTAGCCCAATGTTTGGGATGTTACAATCCGCGCCTTTCTGGGATTCTGAAACGGGCCAGTAAGGTGATCCGCGCCAGTAAGGTGATCTGCGCCTTTCATTTAATTTTCAACCATTCACACCTCCCACATTAATTACCCCAACCGACCAAACCCCTCCCTTCTCCCTATAAATACCCTCTCATTTCTTCATTCAAACACACCAAATTCTCAAATCTTCTCAAAGCCCAAATCCTCTTAAAGCTCATACCCGGTCAAATTTTATTTAGAATGTAAAATATTTTACTATATTATAATAAATTAATACTTTAGTATTTTATTAAATTATATTATATTTACTTTTTATTATTTTTTGTAGTTATAAAATGGAAGGCAATATGCTTCGTTTAGATGGACATCATGTCTCCCCATTGAACTTGATGGGATGACACCATGATGCGGATTTCCTATTATGGCGTTAAAATCATCACACATAACTGTAGTTGGGCTGTCAACTTGTTGAGCCAACCCATAGTGGGAGCATAATGACATACCACGAATAACACGCACTTCAACAAATTTCGCATACATCTTCGTATCGACATCTGAATAATGATTTTAAGAATCAACCATCATTGCAACATAGTTATCGTTTGATAGTTTGAATGTTGTATAAGTTAATAGAAACACCGATATTGGAAATCTGTACTGAAGCGAGGACAATCTTCTAGTACTTCCAACATGAACATTTCCTGAAATCTTCGTTATCAGCTCCTCAAGAGTTATGTTTCTCTTGAAGGATATTTTGATAGAATGATTTGATGCGAACACGACGCCAGTTTCACCTTCCCGAATTTCTCTATCATAGTAAACAATAGCTGAAATACGCGTCATTCTGAGAGTTTAAAAGATTGAGAGTCTTATATCTGCAAAAATAATAGTTGAAATACGCCTAATTAAATAAATAGTATATGAATTAAAATATAACCTAATAAAAAATAAAAATATTAACAATAATTTAAATAATATAATTTTATATTGTTACCGTATCGACAAAAATATCTCGACGTATGATCCCACTTTCCAATTTTACAACCGTAAAAACTAATAGAAAATAATTAGTACAATAAATTTTTTTCAAATAATCATATATAAAATAAATATAATATATTAAAAAAATTATCTTACAACGAAAGATCGAAGGAACTGGTGAAGCAAATATAGGAGGAATTGATGTGGTGATGTTTACGGTTGAAGGGGGTGTTATTTATAGGTGAGGGGAGAGTTTAAAGGCCGAGAAATTCAGAACCAATAATGAAAGGCGTTGATCACCATCCGCGCCTTACTGGCGCGTGTCAGATCACATAAAGGCACAGATGATGATCTACGCCTTTCCTTTACGCGGCAACTCAAATAAGGTACGGATGACTATCCATACCTTTCATTACGTGGCCACACGTAAGGGACCATCATCGCCTTGTCAAAAAGGGTGTTAGATCGATAAAACTTTTTGAAACTGTGTCTAATAGGTAATTAGTTCATGTCAGGGTGATTTTTGAGTAAAAACGCCTGATTACATGGGGACATTATAAACTTTGGTTGATTAAGGTTTGAAAATTGGCATGGGAATTGGATGACCAGGGTTTATAAAATCTAAAGATATTTGGTTGAAATTTAATAGGTAAAATTTACTGGTAAATCAAATTAGAAGTAGAGAAGTCAAGAAGTGAAAGGGAGAGATAAAGAAGTGAATGAGAAAAATAAAGTTTAATACATGACTAAATTGATAAAATATATAAATTTTAGGAGATAAAACTATTATTCTATCATTAATGTGGATAAATAAAATAGAATTAAAATATAATATTATTAAAATAATTAAATAACTAAAACAAAAATAGAAGGAGAAGAGAGAGATAGTAAATAAGTATTCAGTGAGTATGTATTAAAAATTATGGAAGAAATATATTAGAAAAATGGAGGGTGGAGATGTGGAGCGAGAAATGCGGTGAGAAAGAGGAATCTGATGATTCCGAAATCAGAGGGGAGAGAGTTAATAATTACACCATTATTCTGTTTTTCTGTCCTTCCAGTTATTTTATTTTTAATTTGTTATTATCAAAATTCCTTGTAAAAATTCAGATTTTGTTTTTGAGCTTTTCCTAATGGGTGCTTAGGTCCTCTCTCTCCCGATAAGCAATCCCAAGTTTGTTAGAAAACGATAGCAACACAAGGACGGTATTGGCCTCCGCAACTCGGATTTAGTTCAAGGCTTCGGCCTTAATTTTGATTTCTTTTTAAAATTAAAAATGTGTGTTTAGGTACTGATGGGACGTCATTTCTAGAATCTAGAGATCATACTTTGTCGTTTTGTTTCTCACTGTTCATTCACGACCTTTTTTGTTGTTGTTGTTAAAAATGAACAACTTAAAAACCAGTTAAACACAAAGCCGCATTCCTAGTAACCGACCCTAATCAGACCCCTCGCTGCCTAGCTAGCCCACTATCGTGCCCAAACACAACACTATAAAAGTCTGCTCTCTTCTCTCTCTTGTGTCCCATATAACCTTCAGAACATGTTTTCACTGTCCCACAGATTCTCTCACTTTCTCCCATGAAATCCTCCGTATATAACCCACAGCAACACAAACATAATCTAAGACATATATACTATACTTTGAAGCTGCTTTTGTTTTGGTCTCAAAATGCTAACGGATTCCGGAGATCAAAATAGGCGTTTAAGCAAGGCGGTTAATCCGAGAGCGCCACCTCCAGAACAAGAACAGCTACCGTGCCCACGTTGTGACTCTACTAATAATAAGTTTTGCTACTGCAACAACTACAACTTTTCTCAGCCTCGTCATTTCTGCAAGTCCTGTCGTCGTTACTGGACTCATGGTGGTACTCTCCGGGACATCCCTGTTGGCGGTGGCACCAGGAAAAATGATAAGCGTTCACGCACCGCTGCCTCCCACGTCGTCGTCGTCACTACCAGCACCACCTCTAGTTATAATAACTTCCCTTTACCTGCTACGCCAGTTTTGTTGCCGATCTCGGGTAACCAAGGAAGTTTTGGTATTGGTGGAGAGTCGAAGGGTAATGGTAGTGGTGGGAGTTTTACTTCGTTGTTGAATACTCAAGGGCTTGGTTTTCTGGATCTTGGTGGTTTTGGGTTTGATATTGCTCTGGCACTCGAGGATGTTGGGTTTGGGTTTGGGAGAGGAATGTGGGGCTTTTCAGGAATGGGAGATGTAGCCGTTGTCGTTGATGGCGGGGTTGTTGCTGCTACTGCTGCTGCTGTTAGGGGAATGAGAATGGGGACCACATGGCAGTATCAAGATGGAGAAAGTGGGTTCGTTGGCGGCATGAATTGCTTTTCTTGGCCTGATCTTGCTATTTCAACACCAGGAAATGGGCTCAAGTGAATTTTCCTCCTTTTTTCTAGTATAAGTTGAATTAGTGAGCGGATATCAAAGTAGATATAGGACTATGGCTCCGGTTTTTTCTTCTTTAGTTAACTTGATGCCATGTGATTTTGTTTGTTTTGTCTACCATATTCGTGTAGAGACATGGCTCTGTTGAATATTCTAGATGGCAGCCAACATTATTGAAAGTTGATGGCAGCCGGCTGCTGCAAATTAGAATTCAAAGTTAGGCATTATTTTATTGAAATAAAAATAGGGTTAATTACAAGATTAATCCCTAAGTTTCAACTATAAATACCCTAGCTCATTTAGCTTCAAAATCATCCCAAAATCATTTCTTCCTTCCAATACTAGAGAGCTTTCTTAGAAGTGAGTGTTTTGTAAACACCTGTAAATTTTCTCTCTTAGTAAAAGATCTGCAGCAGTCCGGAGACGTAAGCACAATTGGCTGAACTCCGTTATCAATTTTTCGGGTATTATTTTTCTGCTTTTATTTCGCATTCTCACTAATCTGGTTATAGGAAAATTACTCATTCTCATTATATTTCCTAACAACTGGCATCAGAGCTTTTGGTTGTAAATTCTGTCAATTTTTTACGAGGTTACTATTCGGCTTACTATTCAAGTGAATAGTGAAATTTGGTCGGCGATACGAGTTTGTCGACGGAGGTGTTATAATACACGGCAGTTCGTAAAAATTATCAGAAACGATCCAAACGAAGCCAGATTCGAGTGGGAGCGATGGCTGCAGACGAAGGGAAAGTGAAAATTGAAAAGTTTGATGGTGCGGACTTTAGATTTTGGAAGATGAAAATTGAAGATTTTCTGTACCAGAAAAATCTATATCAACCCCTCTCAGGAAAACAACCAGAGGGCATGAAGAATGAAGACTGGGCTCTTCTCGACAGACAAGCCCTCGGAGTTATCCGACTGACGTTATCCCGTAATGTTGCTTTCAACATAGCAAAGGAAAAGACCACGGAGGATCTTATGGCGGCTCTCTCCAGTATGTATGAGAAGCCATCAGCCTCAAACAAAGTTCATTTGATGAGGCGATTATTCAATTTGCGGATGGCGGAAGGGGCATCAATGGCTCAACACCTGAATGAACTCAACACAATCACAACCCAGTTGAGTTCCGTGGAAATTGAATTCGATGATGAAGTTCGAGCTTTAATTCTCTTATCATCTCTACCAGACAGTTGGAATGCTACTGTTACAGCAGTCAACAGCTCGTCGGGAAACAACAAATTAAAATTCGACGATGTTTGAGATCTGGTATTGAGTGAAGAAATTCGACGAAGAGAATCGGGTGAAGCATCAACCTCCTCAGCCTTGCACACAGAGTCTAGAGGGAGAACTTCAGAAAGAAATTCAAATCGTGGCAGATCAAAATCCAGAAGGGGAAAATCAATAACGGGAAAGAAAGATTTTACCTGTTATAACTGCGGCAAGAAGGGTCACTTCAAAAGAGATTGTCGAGCACCGAAGAAAAATACCGGCGCACAGGAATCTGCAAATATGACAGAGGAGACAGGTGATGCCATGATTCTAAGTGTCAACAGTCCGATTGAATCATGGATCTTGGATTCAGGGGCATATTTCCACTCCTCCCCATGCCGAGAAATCATGGAGAACTATGTCAGTGGTGATTTTGGGAAGGTTCATCTAGCTGATGATGAAACCTTGAAGATCGTCGGAAAAGGAGATATTCGACTAAAGCTGCCAAATCAGACCACCTGGAAGCTGACATGAGTGGGATATATTTCTGGCCTCAAAAGAAATCTGATTTCTGTTGGACAGCTTGATGGAGAATGATATAATACAACATTTTCAGGCTATGAATGGAAGATTACCAAAGGAGCACTCGTCATTGCTCGTGGTAAGAAGACTGGTACTCTCTATGTAACCTCAAACTTAGAGAATATCATTACAGTAGCAGATGCTGATGGAAAATCAAACCTATGACACCAAAGACTTGGCCATATGAGCGAGAAAGGAATGAAGATATTTCTTTCAAAAGGGAAGCTGCCGGATCTAAAGAATGTAGATGTAGGACTATGCGAGGATTACATCTTTGGAAAATAAAAGAAAGTCAGTTTTGCAAAGATTGGCAATACACCCAAGACAGAAAGGCTAGAATTGGTTCATACTGATGTATGGGGACAATCCCCAGTTCCATCTCTTGCAGGCTCACTATATTATGTCACATTCATCGATGATTCAACAAGGAAGGTGTGGGTTTATTTTCTGAAGAAGAAATCAGAAGTCTTCGATACCTTCAGAAAATGGAAGGCCATGGTGGAAAATGAGACTGGTTTAAAAGTCAAGCGGTTGAGGTCTGACAATGGAGGAGAGTACAGAGACAGTAGATTCAGAGATTTATGAGAAAACAATGGGATCAAGATGGAGACAACAGTTCCCATAACATCGCAGTAGAATGGCGTAGCAGAGCGTATTAATAGAACTCTGAATGAACGTGCCAGAAACATGAGGATACATGCCGGATTGCTCAAATTTCTATGGGCTGAATCTATCAACACTGCAGCTTACCTGATCAACCGTGGGCCCTCAGTTCCTTTGGATGGCGGAATACCAGAGGAAGCTTGGATCAAGAAAGAAATAAACCTTTCACACTTAAGAGTGTTTGGTTGTATTTCTTATGTACACATAAACTCTGCTGAAAGATGTAAACTTGATGCCAAGTCCAACAAATGCATCTTTGTTGGTTACGATGGTGATGAGTTCGGTTACCGATTTTGGGACTACGAAAATCGGAAGATCATCATAAGCAGAGATGTCATTTTCAATGAGAATGTGATGTACAAAGACGGATAAACCATAGAATCAAGTAGCTCAAACATCGAAACTGAAACAAAGGAATTTGATGAGTTCGAGGAGATTTCTGGAAATGATGTTCAGATCAGTCCTGAAGCAGTTCAAGAAGAACCAGGCACACCGAAACTAAGACGCTCCTCTAGAATTCCTAAACCAACTCAACGGTATTCTCCTTCTTTGCAATACTTGTTGCTGACTGACAATGGTGAACCAGAGTGCTATGATGAAGCCATGCAAGTGGAGGATTCAGTCAAGTGGGAGTCTTCCATGAAATATGAGATGGACTCGCTTATGTCAAATCAGACGTGGGAATTAGCTGAATTACCACCAAGCAAGAGAGCGCTCCATAACAAGTGGATTTACAGGATCAAAGAAGAGCACAATGGGAGAAAACGCTACAAAGCAAGATTGGTTGTCAAAGGCTTTCAGCAAAAAGAATGTATTGACTACAATGAAATTTTCTCTCCAGTCATAAAACTGTCTACAATCAGACTGGTGTTGAAAATTATAGTTGTAGAGAATTTACATCTTGAGCAGTTAGATGTAAAGACAACTTTCCTTCATGGTGATTTGGAGGAAGAAATCTATATGAGGCAGCCAGAAGGCTTTATAGAGGCAGGAAAGAAAAACCTGGTATGTAGGTTGAAGAAGAGCTTGTATGGTTTAAAACAAGCTCCTAGACAGTGGTAGAAGAAGTTCGATAGTTTCATGGGTAGTAGTGGTTTTACCAGATGCCAAGCAGATCATTGTTGCTACATCAAGAGGTTCGACAATAGCTTCATTATTTTATTGTTGTACGTTGATGACATGCTCGTTGCAGGCTCAAACATGCAAGAGATCATAAACATGAAGCAAAAATTGTCGAAGCAGTTTGCTATAAAGGATCTGGGCGCTGCAAAGAAGATTCTTGGGATGAGGATCAAGAGAGACACAAAGTCAGGGACTTTGATGTTATCACAGGCTGAGTACATCAACAAAGTACTCTCCAGGTTCAACATGCAAGATGCTAAATCAGTAAGTACACCTTTAGGTGTTCATTTCAGACTCTCCAAAGAATAGTCACCAAAGACAGAGGAAGAACGTGCACACATGGTGAAGGTGCCGTATGCCTCAGCAATTGGAAGTCTGATGTATGCCATGGTTTATACCAGACCAGATATTGCTCATGCAGTGGGAGCTGTTAGCAGGTACATGAATAATCCAGGCAAGGTACACTGGGAAGCAGTCAAATGGATCCTCAGATATCTGCGGGGTACCACAAACAAAGAACTTTGTTTCAAAGGTGGAGATACGATACTGACAGGCTATGTAGATGCTGATTTAGCCGGAAATGTCGACATCAGAAGAAGCACTACAGGGTATGTCTATACTCTCGGAGGAACTGCAGTGAGTTGGGTTTCTCAACTACAGAAGATAGTTGCTCTCTCCACAACTGAAGCAGAATATGTCGCTGTTACGGAAGCCAGCAAGGAGATGGTTTGGCTCCAAAGTTTCTTGGAAGAGTTAGGCAAGAAACAAGAAAACAATATCTTGTATTGTGACAGTTAAAGTGTTATCCATCTAGCGAAGAATCTGTCTTTTCATTCCAGGACGAAGCATATACAATTGCGATATCATTTTATCCAGTCTCTTCTAGAAGATGGGATTTTGAAACTTTAAAAGACCAGTGGAGCTCAAAATCCGGCATACATGTTGACAAAGACGGTGACCACGGACAAACTGAAGTTATGTTCAACTTCAGTTGGCATGCTAGAATAACAAGACCATAAATGCTGCTGCATTGATCGAGGTGTGAAGACAGATTAAAATCAGTCTTCAAGTGAGAGATTGTTGAATATTCTAGATGGCAGCCAATATTATTGAAAGTTGATGGCAGCCGACTGCTGCAAATTAGAATTCAAAGTTAGGCATTATTTTATTGAAATAAAAATAGGGTTAATTACAAGATTAATCCCTAAGTTTCAACTATAAATACCATAGCTCATTTAGCTTCAAAATCATCCCAAAATCATTTCTTCCTTCCAATACTAGAGAGGTTTCTTAGTAGTGAGTGTTTTGTAAACACTTGTAAATTTTATCTCTTAGTAAAAGATCTGCAGCAGTCCGGAGACGTAAGCACAATTGGCTGAACTCCGTTATCAATTTTTTGGGTATTATTTTTCTGCTTTTATTTTGCATTCTCATTAATCTGGTTATAGGGAAATTACTCATTATTGTTATATTTCCTAACAGGCTCAGATCAAATTGATGAGTGTGTAGCTATTGGTTGTTGATATGCTCAAATATTTAGATAGTAGTGCTTTTGTTTAACCAGAAGAAATGCCATAAACCTGATCCAATATCCAAGGGTGTGTTTGGTTCATAGAATGTAAGATTACCAGTGGGAATAAAAGATTACTAAGGAATATGATTACTGGGAATGTTATATTTTGTGTTTGGTTGGTTTAGCAGGAATGTAAGATTATCGTGTTTGATTAAAGGAATAAAAGATTATTGGAATGTATATTTGACCAAATTATCCTTATTATATATATATTTTTTAACAAGTTAGAAAATATTTATATATTTTCTTTAAAAAAATTAAATTCATAAACTTTATATAATTTTTTTACAAAATTGAAAATATAAAAATGTTTAATGAAAGGGTAAAATTTTATTTTAACCCCTGAAATTCATATAAAATTTTAATTATATATTTTTTTTGTAAATCTAAAATAGTTTAAGGATAAATTTGTAATTTAACCTTCGTAGAATTTTTATTATTCAATGACAGAATAATGATATTTTTTAAAGAAAAAAATTTAAGGGCATTTTAGTCCAAAATGCCGGTAATCTAACAATACTTAAGGAAAGGGAGGTAATGACATTCCCGGTAATATACCCCAAAAATTCACTATTGGTAATGTAAGATTACCGGGGATGACATTCCTGGCCAACCAAACGGGGGAATATGGATTTCATTCCCATGGGAATCTCACATTCCCCCAACCAAACACATCCCAATTGTTTTAAATTGGTCTTATTCTCGTAGGCAACTGGAGCAAATTGCTATATTGCAACCTTAAAAGGTGTTATAGTTACAATAAAGGGAAAAAAGGGGTGGGGTTTGAAATCGTTAGACGGACCTTTCAACAGTAGCACACAGATAGCAGCAAGAATTTAAAATAGGGTAAAGTGTAAAAATAGTCACTAAACTTTTCACATACTTGCATTTAGGTCCCCTAACTTTTAAAACTTGCAAGACAGTCACCAAATATTTAGTTTGTTTGCAATATGGTCCCCAAAGTAACGACCATTTTCTGTTGTTAGGGTAAATTATATAAATGGTCACTGAACTTTTTAGGCGCTTGCATTTAGGTCCCTCAACTTTTAAAACTTGCAACACAATCATCAATTACATTCTAAACCCCAAATCTAAAATGTTTCAATTACATTATAAACCTCAAATTCCAAAATACTTTAATTGCATGTCCAACCCCAAATTCATAATCCATTCTCAAAATCTTTCCTAACAAACTGAATCTGAAGCAGCAACCTTAAACCCTCAAAACATAACTATTTCGAAAAAATTTAACCAACTATAAGTGAACAATAAATCATTATATTAGGTTTAGGTTTAGAGTTATGTAGGACCTAAATATTTAATTCAATTTATAAAATACTTGAATCAAAATTTTTTCGATTTGAGTTTATAAAATTTAAATCAAATCGAATTGAATTGAATTTTTGAGTTTCTCTTTAAATTTAATTATAAATATTTATCATATTATAATATTATTTGATTCTAATTCAGTTCAGTTTATAAAATAGTTGACTTGAATTTTTTTCGATTTGAGTTTATAAAATTTAAATCAAGTCAAATTGAATTAAATTTTTGAGTTTATGTTTAAATTTAATCATAAATATTTATAATACTATAATATTATTTGATTCTAATTTAAATAGTTTTTTAACCATATACAATACATATATTTCTTCATATTTTTCCATTTGTGATATATATATCATACAGAGTCAAGGGACTTGACTCAAACTTAAAAATTAATCCAATAATTACTAAAAAATTTTGAGGTATTCGAGTTGTATTTTACAACTCGATTTTAACTTGAATTTTTTTAAGTTGAGTTTATGAAATTACAACTCAAAGTCAATTTGTATCAAATTTTTTGAATCAATTCAAGTCGAAAAATATTTATTTCAAATCGAATTGAGTATTGTTCACTTATAGTTGGTTAAATCTAACTTTTAAATCCTACCCAACATAATCACTTATTGTTATGGACCCAAAATGAACTACATGTTGATTATGTTGGGTTAATTGGTGGGGAAATTTAGCATTTAGGGTTATGTTTAAAGGGTTTAAGGTTGTTGCTTCAAGTTTAATTTGTTATGGCAGAGTTTGAGAATGGATTATGAATTTAGGGTTGGACATGTAATTGAAGTATTTTGGAATTTGAGGTTTATATAATTGAAGTATTTTGGATTTGGGGTTTAGAATGTAATTGATGATTGTGTTGCAAGTTTTAAAAGTTGGGGGACCTAAATGCAAGTGCATGGAAAGTTTAGTGACCATTTATATAATTTACCCTAAAGGCAGAAAACGGATGTTACTTCGGGGACCATATTGCAAACGAACTAAATGTTTGGTGACTGTATTATAAGTTTTAAAAGTTGAGGGACCTAAATGCAAGTATCTAAAAAGTTCAGTGACCATTTCTATACTTTACCCTTCAAAATAAAATAAAAGCTCTCTATAAGTCATCTAAATTACTTAAAGAAGTTTTTTAGATAAACAACTTATTCCATTGCTTGTGAGTAATCCTTGTAGAACCTGAAGACTGTTTGGATGTGTTTAAAATAAAAGATTGACTATTTACCGTAATTAAATCAAAGTAAGGCCGATAAGAGTTTCATTATTAGGTTAAAAAAATTGATTTATGCTAATGACTCGGTTCTTCAAAATTAAAGAGATTTCTTCAACTAGTTTGATATTCATATTAGGAAGTGTAATCCAAACAAGAACAATAAAATAAGGAATACTACTGTCGATGAATCACAAAACACTGACTGTAATGTGATGTTATGGTCATTATTGTATGGTTTCACCTTTTTTTCCTATATATATATTCACCATAATTACTAGTGATAGCTGGGAATTTCCATAGTCATCTTCTTCCTCCAATTCCAGCTCCCGCTGCGAGTTGCAGATTGCCATAAAAACCTGCACTTAAGAATTCACATTTACATTATAGTAAACTTAAAGTTTACATTTCCCTCTCTGTTATCCACTAAAATCTCCCCTTGGAACGTAAAGTTGAACAACAATGAAACCTACTGGTTTTAACTATCTCAAAAAGATGAATGGAAAGGGAAAAGAAATTAAACGAAACTGAAACCAAACATACTGTGAAGCATCTATACACAACAAACTTTCTTTCATAGTCCTGGATCCAAAAATTTTTTGAGGATGAACACGCATATTGAAATTTTTTGTATAAGATAATCACAAATAAAATTTCAGGATTAGGTATTAATACTAGCTGGAGTTTAAGGTGTATCCTTAAAATGAGGACCGAGGCTTTTCCTGTTTTGTGTTCCATCTTCTGGAGCTAAAAAGGTAGATGATATTTGGGAAGTGATTAGGGTGAAGGGTACTAAAGTACCATGGCAGAAGCTGATATGATTCCCACTCCACACCCCAAAGCATAATATGATTGTGTTGATGACTTTACTTGACAGACTTCCAACAAAGGATAGGCTGCATCGCATGGGGCTTGTTAGCGAAAGTCAATGTGTTTTTTGTAATGTTGCTTTGGTAACAAGGGACCACTTGTTCTTTGAGTGTCCTTTGGCTGCTTCTTTATGGGAGGCAGTCTTCAATCTTAATGGCTTGAGAAGAACTTTGTCATGGGAGACTCACTTAGCTTGGGCTTATGGTGCTTGAAAAGGTAAGTCCTTACTCACAACAATCATGAAGCTAGCTTCGAACTCTTTAATCTACACTTTATGGGAGGAGAGAAACAAAATATTGTTCCAAGGTTGTCCAAGAAATGTTGATGAAATGTTTCATACTATTAAGGAAATTGTAGGTATACAATTAAGGGGTAGGAATATTAATAGACTTGATAGTGTTAATAATACTCTTTGTAATCATTGGGGTATAGTTTGATCATTGTTTGTTTTTGTAAGTAGGGTTTTCTAATGTAATCAGAACGCTGATTGTTTTTGTAGCAGAAATCTGCTTCTTTGGGTAATAAAATCGAATTATCCACACACAAAATTTCAGGATGACACCTACAGGAAAATGGACAACTAATAGAAATAAATTCGAATCTCAGGATGGGCATTTTGCCTCCGCCGGTGTCGACCACCGTTGGAAAGGCTTGTTATAAGCCGATAATAACAGAAATATCATGATTTGAATGATGTATTCCACCCCCTGCACACTAACCCGAAACCTGAAACCAGAAAAAGAACCCTCTAGTCCAGTGTGCAAGAGATGGAATATAACATAAACCCATGCCAATTTAGAAAGAAGAAGGAGATGAACCAGCAATGCTGCTAGTATTTCTCCTAGCTGGGGGATGCCGGAATTTTTATAATGGAGCAGGGATCATGTGAAAATAACTTATCAATAGCAGCCTTTTTGTTGGTGGAAAAGTGGTAGGGTGAGGTGGAAATCACCAACAACGGATAAATCTTTTACAATCTTGCCTCCGTTTTGTTCATGCCTTCGATTGAGTGCACATTGCACAATCTTTCAATCCTTCTAATGGACGGATTGCTTATGACTTCAGCCAAAATGATCTTTCCACTCTGTTTTCAAATCCATCTTCTTCTTTCTTATATACATCTAACCTATAATCAAGCTTGATAGCCAATTAAAGGAACAAACACGGAAGATAATATAAAACCCTAAACCCTAAACCTTGAATAACAAAAATAAACTTTTTACCTCAAATTCATATAAAAATATTAGTATGGTTCTACTAAATCCAGTTACTTTAATTTCACGCCAAGAGGAATGATCATTTATATATTGGTCCAATAATTATATTAATTCTTTTCTTCTTTTAAGTGCATGAAGAGAAAGATTATTTTTGCTGCCATCTTATAAAAAATACTAATCATATATAAAATTATAAAATATTTATAATTAATATCTTTATTCATCCTCTTAACTTAAAAAAAAAGTCAATTTCTATCATTTCGTCGTGTATTATATAAGTTATGAATTTAATTTTTAATTTCTTTATTTTAAATATTTTAAAATTTCAGTAGTATTTACATCAAATAAAATAATATAATTAAACTATAAGGATTAACAATGATCAAGTTTAAAAAATATAAAAATTAAATATACAACAAGGATTAAAGAATATAAAAGTTAAATATACAGCTTAACCATAATACAATAATTAATATTAAAATTTAATTGAACAAATTTAAAAACTGTTCGTTTAATTAAAATTAAATTTGTAAAGTTTAAAAAAATAATTAAATTAGAGTACATATGCTAAATCGTAGTAATGGAATTTAGGGTAAAATACACATTTAGTACATAAACTATCAATTTTGATCTGTTTTAGTATTTAAACTTTCATTTTTTTTCTCAAAAGCATACATAAAGTTTAGTTTTATTTTATTTTAGTACCCCACTGTTAAAAATATAGTTTTTTTTTTTCATTTTAGTACTCTCATTCAAAATATAACGTTAAATTTTGAAAAAAAATTGAAAGTCTAAGCACTAAAACGAGCCAAAACTGATAGTTTAGGTACTAAACGTTTCAAGTTTTTAATGGAGGGTACTAAAATGAAATGAAAACTAAACATCAAGTATGATTTAAAAAATATGAAAGTTTAGATACTAAAACATGCTAAATTAGAATAAGGGAGTCATATAATAGTTTTGTATTGAATAACATAGCATTCCTGATCATTCACCAAATTAGGATATAAGTGAGGCGAACAAGCACTAAAAAATAGTTTCCCTTGTGAATATTTTAGATTAGCTCAAGGTTCTAATCTAATTTTACTTTAGATGTATTGTTTTGTCTTTTTTTGTTCAGGAGTGGCTTATGTTCCATTCATGAAACTAAGCTACTCCATGTGCGGGAAGACAGTTGAATATGATCCATGTTATGCAACTATGAATGGTTCATCAATTTGTTGCTATTGCGAATACCAGAAACAAATTGTGAACTGTTGGAATGCTTTCTTTCACCCTCATTAAGTGAAGGTGTTCAACATTTAAGAGTTGTTTCCAAACCCATTGATCTAGGTTAGTTATTACCTCCATGCCAGTTTACTGAGCTCAAGAAGAAAAGATCTCTAAGTTACAGGTTTGGATCGGTCAGTGGATTTCCCCCCTCAGAGTTTGAAGTATTTCTTGTCTGAATGATATGTATAACAAGCCATCAGTTTTGAAACATTTTCCTTGTCCTTTCATATTGTGGTGCGTAGCATTGGTGTATAAATTGGCATGGTTGTTTACAACAGGAACTTGGAGGAATCGCCACTGCCATGGAGAGGCAGAAAGCTTTGCTGCAAGAATTGATGGCTACTGCGAAAGATATGTTAAGGAACACAGAGATTGATGTTCGTTCTTACATGATGTTTCGGCCACGGTTCCTTCACTCAAACACAGGAGGAGCTTCAAATGCAGCAGCACCATCCCAGGCTCCAGGAGCAACAACGGCCCCAGGTTCCGGTTTTCAACCAACTGCTGCAACCATGGTACCCATTTTTTATTTTTGCTATGGGCTTCCCAAGAAGCCATCTCCATTTCTACAGTATACCATTGCTAGATTTGAGAAGTATTTGTGTGAGTGCCGCCAGTGGATTGAAGAGTTGGAACAGCTTCTCCTTTTGAATTCTGAAAGAAACTCTAGCAATCAAGCATCCTCATAATTGCAATCTCTTCCCAAAGTAATGTCCAATGTGCATGAGTTTTTTGTTCTTGTGGCTGCCAAGGTAAGCAAGATGCGCGTACTTGTATATCATTCTATGTGCATTTATGTTTTGTCTGATTGACGGTACATAGTCATATGCTAAGGAGCAGATATATATCTTCTTGTTTGAAATTTTATTTTTTGAAATTGAGTTGAGACAAGGATTTTTTTTATGTATTCTTATGTAGTCCATGCTTTATGTTTAAAGTAGTCATAGCATGGTACCTATGACTGTGATTTTAGAGTAGTCACCATAGCTTAATAAATAAAAAAAGTAGTCATAGCATGCATTCAAGATGTGATTTTAAATTTTACTTTTTACATGCACACTTAACGCCTATCCACCCCCACCCAAAATACAACACAAGAAAAAAGATTTGACTTGTCCTATGACTGTTTTGTAGGTAGAGAGCATTCATCAGTACATTCAATCAATGAAAACAGCATATCTTGCTGATCACCGTGGCAGAGGAGATGTTAATGATCCTTTTCTTGAAGCTGATCGGAGAGAAACTGCCAAGCAAGAAGCTGCTGCTAAGAGGGTACATCCAACCTTGCATTTACCTACCAATTCACAACCATCAACTCAGGTTGCTGGGTTGCTTCCTGGCTCAGCAACAATTCCTGCAGCAGCCTCTGCCCCACAGACATCTGCTGCACCATCAACAGCTTCTTGGAAAGGTGGATTATCTCTTTTCAGTACACCGTCTTCCACTCCTGCTTCTTCCATGTCATCTTCACTGTTTGCAACACGAACCACAAGAGCTTCCACCCAAAATTCCCTTTTCAGTTCCTCGTCACGATCTTTCTTTGGATCTTCATCCACTCCCTCTATTTTTTCTAGTACCACACCAGCTTTCAGCTCTACTGCATCTGCTGGAGGTTCTTTTTCAATACCATTTGCTTCAGGTACCTTCTTATGTTATTATATTTTCTGCAATCACTTCTTTCTATTTTCAAGTAATGTCTTTGCAGATCATGCTTATCATTTTTGTTTTAAGTAGCCACTGTGTTTTGATGTAGGTTGATATATTTTGATCTAATTATTGTGTGTTGTCTAACTGAGTTTTTTCTTCCCAGGTGCTCCAACAGGATCCGGTGCTAGCTTCGGGGCTGCATCTGTGAGTAGTGTGTTATCTTGGCTTTCAATTTTTTCTTCACTTTTTCTTTAGTTTCGGAAAGAACAGGCATTTTCACATGGATCAATTATTTTTCCCTTAACTAACCTCGTCGATGTGTGTTCTTGCAGAAATCATCAAGGTCAAAGTCCCGGACTACCCGGCGTTAGTCATTGCGGCTTGAATATGGAAAGCCCGAAACTACTTTCTGTTCACTGCAATGATCCTTTGCACATAAAGGGACCCACATAGTTCATTTTGACAGTTTCTCTACTCATGATATTCCTTTAAAGTGCAGTGTCATTAGCACTGGAGTTGAAGGATCCTGTAGGCTGTTGATGATATCTAGAGAAAAAAAAAACAGGATGTTAGCTTTGTGAAACATCCTAATCTCTTTTGCATTCTTTTCAGTATTGATTGAAGTTCTACAAGATCCTTATTACTGTAACATTGTAGGAACTTTTTTCTTCTTTTGAGTATATATTTGAAAACTATAATTCCTGTGTGAATATATAATTACCTGGGGTAAATCACATTTAGTTGAGTTTCTGATGTTAAACTAAAAACTTGGATGAAAGTCGTTTGTTACTGATCTTGTCATGTTCCCTCGTAACCTATGCAGTTCAGTTTCTGCATCGTAAACCTGCGGGTGCAATTGATCTCCCGACGCGAATACATGAATATTGTTTTTATCTTCAATCCAACTTAGGCCAGGATCCTTTTCCAACGTCAAGTCTCTGATCTTTCTCCTCATTTCTGCTACATCTCGCCATCTCTCTGTTGCAGCATAAAGATTGGAAAGCAAGATGTGGGTTCCACTATCACTTGAATCAACCATGAGAATTTGACCCGCTGCATAAACTCCTTTCTCCAACCTTCTGAAAGTGACACAAGAGCTTAGCAAAGTTCTCCAGAGTTCCAAACGTTCTTCACTGTATGGTGATTTGATGATCATCTCCTCTGCTTCGTCTAACAACCCAGCTCGACAAAGCAAACTCACCATGCAGGAAAAGTGCTTGGGTCCTGCGGTGCAACCATTTTCCGTCATACAAGCCCAAATGAACTTTCCTCTCTCAACCAAGCCACTGTGATTACAAGCAGATAGGAGAGACAAAAATGTTACTTGATCTGGCTTTAGTTCTTGTTTTAGGATCTCGTCAAATAGCTTCAATGCATCTTTTGCCATTCCATGGAGGCTATATGCCCCAAGCATTGCATTCCAACACTTCAAATCTGGGTAAGAAACGTAGGAAAATATGGATTTAGCTGCTTGAAGGTTTCCATTTTTGGCATACATATCAATCAGACTACCACAAACAGACATTTCAACTTCATATCCAGATTTCATAGCCTGAGAATGAATCATCTCACCTTGTTTCAGCATTGCAAGGTCAGCACAAGCACTTAATGCACCACTGAGAACAAAGCTATCAATCTTAAACCCCATTTGACACATTTGAACCAACAATCTAATTGCACTCTCCCCATCAGCCATTCTAGAGTAACCCATAATCATTTCAGTCCAAAGAACCACATCTTTCTTCAAGATCATACTAAAAACTGCCTCAGCAGATTCACTGTCACCATTTTTGAAATACATGGACACTAGAGTGGTTCCTAAGAAAACACTATTTCCCATTCCTGATTTTGTGATTTGACCATGCAAGGGCTTCCCATAATCGGATGCTAGGAGTGCACTAGTTGCAGAAATGACAGAAGCAAAAGTGTATTCATCAGGCTTAAGAAAAGGCATCCCCTTCAACTCAACAAATAGCTCCATGGCTCTTATGCCATCTCCATGCTCTGCCAATCCCGCAAGCATTGAATTCCAAGAAACCAAATCAAAGTTTTCAATCTTACTAAAACATTCAGCCCAGTTTCAATGTCACCACAATTGCAGTACATGTCAAGCAAGGCATTTTGCAAAGGTAAATCAACTACAATATTCGAAACAACGATTTGGGCATGGATAGCTTTCCCCCAGTTATAATTCCCAACCTTACCACAAGCATTTAACACCATGGAATATGTAAATGGAGTTGGGTAAACCCCAGACTTAATCATTTCAAAAAAGAAAGCCAGCCCTTCATTTATCTTACCATTCCTCAAGTTTCCAAATATTGTAGAATTCCAAGCAACAACATCCCTACCGTCTATACAAGCAAAAATTGCATTAGCAGACTCCAAATCCCCACAATTCGAGTACACCCCAAGTAAGGCAGTTTGAACACAAACGTCACCTAAAAAACCAAACTTTACAACAAGAGCATGTATTGACGAACCAATCAATCTATCCTCAACCAACAAAGCAGCTTGTAATAAGCTCGTGAAAGTGGCACCATTAGGCCTTAAACACTCAAAACCCATCTGGGGAACCAATCTAAAGGCTAAGTTAGCATGGTTTGGTGCTCGAGAATACGCTGTGATGAGCGCATTGTATGAAACTACATTTCTATTGGGAGTTTTGTCGAACACTTTCTTGGCATCCGAGAGGGAGTTGCATCGAGAATACATAGAAACAAGGTTGTTGTGAACGTACGGGGAAAGGGAATTGAGGGGCGTAGTGGAGATGGTCAGTAGGAAAGCGTGGAGCTGACGCGCTTTTTTTAGGGTCGTTATGGAGCTGCATTTCTGTACGAGGGAGGCTAGGTAGGAGGTTTCATATGACGGTGGCATTTACGCGGCCGAGGAGAGCAGGGGATGTGATCGTAACACAAAATTGATGCGCTTTGAAAGAAAGTGGAGTTCCCTTAGTTACTGCAACATTTTGAATCGCCAAAAACAGATCTTTGCGGTGGATTGGTCATCAATCCTCTCTCAAAAATAAATGAACAAATAAGTAACTAAGATTGATACAGTCCTGAAATCAATGCAATTCTTTAAAATTTGTATACCTAAATTTTGAAGATAAATTGTGATAAATACTTACACGAGCACTATCATTCATTGTTCGACTTATATTCATACTAACACACATCCAAGTATAACACATTATTTTTTATTTTTTATAATAACATAATAAAATTATTTTATTTCATTAAAATTTATTTTTAGGATAAACTATACAAATGGTCATTGAACGTTTAGGTTGCTTGCATTTTGGTAGCCCAACTTTTTAAACTTACAATACATTTATCAAACTTTTAATTTATTTTTAGTAAGGTTATTGACGTTACCTCCCGTTAGTTTTATCTAACTTCTCATGTTACTAATATTTTTTAGCTTAAGAAAAATTAAAAAAATATTCCCAAAACAACACCATATAAAATTTGAAAAAAGTTAAAAGTGTTTAAAATTGTTTCATCGATCAAATGACTTAGATAAAACATGTTTAATTTAGATTTTCCGGTTCAGGATTTTTTTAGATTATCGATTGTTGGCGGATGAAAATGAGGTAGAGAAAGACTTGAAGCAACAAAAAAACCATAAAAAAAAAAAAAAAAAGAAAAATAGAATTCCTAAATCCTAAATTACTCCTCTCTTAACACGAGTTAGAATCAGGTACAATAAAATTCCCAAACAAACCACCCAAATCACTTGCTCAAACTTTCTTCCCCTTTCCATGGATCTCATCTTTCTTAGTAAACCAACAATAACAGTATGTGAATGTGAATTCAATGGGGTATTATACCAAATAATTATGTGAATGTGAATTCAATGGGGTTTTATACCAGATAAAAAAATTGCAATTTCTTCTAGATACACGTCCATGATTAACGCACTCAAAGAATTTCCTTCCAACATTATTATTCGTCCAAATTGTACGTAGGGTAGCTGACATTCCATAAAACATGTTGGGATTGAAGTTGGCATCTCCATTACTAGCTTTTATTGTTGATCAAACAAAGAGAATAGAAAGAAAAAAAAACTTGATTTTTATGATTTTCAGTCAATTTTGGGTGAGGAATTTTTTTATCAAGTTGAAATGGGTCAAAGGATTATTTTATTAAGCCAAAAAGTAATAGTAATGTGTCACGTCAGATAAAACTAACGGGAGGTAACACCAGAGATCTTACTGGAAACGAACAAAAAGTTAGATGGTTGTATTGCAAATTTTAAAAGTATGGTGACCAAAATACAAGCATCCTAAAAGTTTGGTGACCATTTTTGTAGGTTACCCTTATTTTTATTAACCATTACTCGTGTTTCTAGTTAAGTTGGGGCAGTAGTATTTTCAACAAAAGCATTGAGATGTTACGATGTTATCCTTTAGAAATTGAATATTGATTTTGATGTTTAACGGCCGACCATTGCCATATGATGCTCTCTTTGATTCCGTCGGAAGGATTTCAATCCCAGAAATGGAACAATGAAAGATGGATTTTTTGCTTATATAGAACAATAATGCTCATCTTTTAGGTATGACGTTTTTGTTTTATGGTAACTTTTATTTGTTATTGGAAAAGAAGGAAACAAAGACACTATAACACACTGAAAACGACGATGAAGTTGACGAAGCCGCACATATTTCTGATATAAATTGACAAAAAGGATTCCAAAGGGAAGCCATTGAAGTTAAGAGACTGAAGCAAAAGAGATGGAAAGGAAGAAAGAGGGTCATTTTGTGCTAGTTCACGGAGCCTGCCATGGAGCTTGGTGTTGGTATAAAGTGATAGTTCAGCTCAAATCAATGGGCCATAAGGTTACAGCTTTGGACATGGCTGGTTACGGTGTTCATGCTAAGCAAGTTCATGAGATTCACTCGTTTTTCGATTACTTTGAACCTCTGATGCCCTTCATGGCGTCTCTAAAACCAGAGGAGAAGGTGATTCTAGTGGGTCACAGTCTTCGTGGGTATAGCATATCAGCTGCCATGGAACAATTCCATGAACAAGTTGCTGTTGCAGTATTCGCCACTGCTTTCATGCCAAGTCCAAATCTGCCGTATCTTTCTCAACAGGTACATGATCTTTTGCAGTTCTTAATATAAAATCATATATCCGCTCCTGATAATTGTTGTTTTTTTTTCTAGTACAGTTCGATAAAACAATGGATTCTGACAAGACCATGGACACAGCGTATGTGTTCCCCAATGGAACAGATAAGCCTCCATCAGGACTATTGGGGCCTAATTTCATGGCAACCAAGTTATACCAGTTATCCCCACCTGAGGCAAGACTTGTCAAATTCAATCAACACCCTTCATTATTTACATATTTTTTCCACTTACTAAACTTAGGGCTGTAAAATCAGGTAATCGGACAGGTTTCAGTCGGATCTTGGTAGGTCGGGTAAAATCGGGTACAAGTCAACTCAGGTTGATTTGACACTAGATCCAGATCAGGTTCAGGTCAGGTCAAATCAGTTCGGGTTATTTTCAGGTTGATTTGACACCAGATCGGGTTTAGGTCGGGTCATTTTCAGTTCGGATTGATGTCAGTTCAGGTAAAAACAGTTCAAATCCGAAGCAGATAAAGAACATGTTAATTCAGGTTCGGGTGGACTTCAGTCGGATCTCGTTCAGATCGGGTCACATCATTGACATATAAAATTCAGGTCGAATGTTTATCGGATACGGATTGAGTTCAGGTCGATCATTTTTATTTTGTTGGATTAATTATTTTTTCATCTTTCGTGATTGTTGAATTGCAAGTTGTAATTGTATATGATTTCGAGTAAATTAAGAGAAAAATAAATATTCATGGATCAATTTTGTAAAAAATATAAATTTAATGACAAAATTGAAGAAATGTAAAATTACAAATAAAATATTAAAATATAAATTAAACAACACACATAGGAAAGGGACTAAATCGAAATAAATTTAAAATGTGAGGTTTAAATTAATATAAAAAAGGACTAAATTAAACACATTTAAAAAATTATGGGCCAATTACAAAAATATAAATAAATAACAACTAACAATGTAATATGTAAATATAAATTTAAGGACTAAATTGAATACATATAAAAGTGAAAGACTTAAAATTGAAATAAATTAAAAAACACAAAAGGATTAAATCAAAATAAATGCAAAATGTAAAGAAATAATGAAAAATATACTAACTTGCATTCATTTAAAAATTGAAAAAATATAATATATATATATATAATATAAAATTATATATAAACTATATTTATATTATAAACTATATAATTGTTATAAACTATATATATAAATTATATTTATGTGAACTATATATATCAACTATGTATATAAAATTATAAACTATATTTATATTATAAACTATATAATTATTATAAGCTATATATATAAATTATGTTTATGTGAACTATATATATAAACTATGTATATAAACTATATATGTATAAACTATAAAAAGTATATAAACTATAAAAAGTATATAGTTTATAAAATATTATATATTAATATAGTATATATATATATATATATATATATATATATATATATATATATATATATATATATATATATATATATATATATATATATGTGTGTGTGTGTGTGTGTGTGTGTATATATATATATAAAAACTATATATGTATAAACTATATAAAATATATAGTTTATATGTTATAATTTATATTAATATAGTATATATGTATGTATTAGTCTATTTAGGGTTTAGGGTTTCTATAAACTATATATTTTATTACTTATATAGTTTATGCATAGTATTTCTATAAACTATATAAGTAATTTACTTTATATAGTTTATATATATATATATATATGTATATGTATATATATATATATATATATATATATATATATATGTGTGTGTGTGTGTGTGTAGTTTATATATATATACATGGTTTATACATACATTAGGGTTTAGGGTTTAGGACTTATTATTTATGGTTTAGGGTTTGGGGTTTAAGGTTTATATAAATTATATACTTTATTACTTTATATAGTTTATGCATAGTGTTTCTATAAATTGCATCGAATTGAAAATTTAAGAAGATATTTATAATTAAACCATGACTAAAATGAAAGAAATTAAAAATCAAATACAAGTGGAAAAATGATGATTGTTGGAGGAGCATGAGTCTAATTAACCCAAAATATCTTGTTGGACACTATATTTGGTGGCAACTTCCCAAATTTTCTATTCCCTCTAAATTCTCAATTTCCCTCTAATTTCCCTATATTCTCAAAATTTCCTAATTTCCCTCTAAATTCTCAAATAAAATCAAAATTTTCAGACAAAAATCTTTCTTTAAAAAAATTTTCTCCCACCACTCACTTTGAATAATATATATATATATATATATATATAATTAAACATAAGTGACTAAAATAAAAGATTCTAAAATTAACATTAACATTTAATAATTATGCACATTAAAGAAAGAAAGGAAAATTAAAATAATTAGAATTTATATATATACGTTAATGAAGCTTGGAGTCTTCTTGGAGAAGACAATATCTTGGCCATTGGATCTACTTTTGATCCAATGGTTGGAATTTGTTGGTACATTTAGTCATGGATCAATGACATCACACCACCTAAAAAGTTAGGTCAACATTTAGTGCTTTGTCTTCTTTCAAAAACCAAAGTCAAAATTTTTTCCTCCTACACCACAAAAATCGATGGTTAGGAGTAGTTTAGGGTTTTTTTATTTATTAAATGCATATATTTGTAATACATATAGGCTAATTATTAAGTGTTAATGTTAATTTTAGAATCTTTTATTTTAGTCACTTATGTTTAATTATATATATATATATATATATATGTATATACTTATATATATATATATATATTATTCAAAGTGAGTGATGGGAGAAAATTTTTTAAAAGAAAGATTTTTGTGTGATTTTTTTTGATTTTATTTGGGAAATTAGGAAATTTTGAGAATATAGGAAAATTTAGAATTTAGAAGTAAATTGAAAAATTTAGAGGGAATAGAAAAATTTGGGAAGTTGGCGCCAAATATAGTGTCCAACAAGATATTTTGGGTTAATTAGGCTCATGCTCCTCCAACAATCATCATTTTTCCACTTGTATTTGATTTTTAATTTCTTTCATTTTAGTCATGGTTTAATTGTAAATATCTTCTTAAATTTTCAATTCGATGTCATTTATAGAAATACTATGCATAAACTATATAAAGTAATAAAGTATATAGTTTATATTTATATTATTTTTCATTTATGTTATAATTGTTAGATAATTTTTTGTACAAAAATTAAACGGTATAGTTTATATTTATATTTTAGAGAATTAATCACGTTTAATACTAATAATCATTTATTATCAAATTAATTATTATTTTATTGTCAAAATTATTTATATTATTAATGTAAACCATTAATATATATTACATAATAAATACTTTTATTATTAATATTATTTTTTCTTTATATAAATTAAACTATATAATTTATATAAATTAAGCTATATTAATTTTCCTTTGCATTATTAATAATATTTTATCTAATTTACATTTAAATAATTTATTAATTTTATTAAATAATTTTATATAATAGGTCTATTTATTAATATAATATCATATAATATTTTATATAACATTTAAAAAGTAATCATATTAATATTTTAATTACATCATAAGTTAAAAAACTGATAATTTGTAATATTTCCATGGTAATATATAAGTCAGATAAATATCAGATCAGGTCATTAACAAGTCAGATCATTTACATGTCAGGTTAAAACAGGTCAGGTTGAAAACATGTCAGATTGAAAACAGGTCGGGTAATACCAGTTATTTATCAGGTAAATCTCGGGTTCGGGTTCATATCAGTCGGATGTAGTTCGGGTTCGGGTATCATATTTTCGGTTCAATTCGGGTTCAGGTCGGGTTCGGATCCATAATTTACAGGTCCAAATCGGGTTCAGGTCAACACCAGTTTCGACTCGAGTCGGTTTTGGATCGCCACAGTACAGGTCAAAAACAATTTTAACTCGAGTCGGTTTCAGTCAGTTTTACAAGTGGGGTCAGCTTTTTACTGCCCTAATTAAACTCTCCATTGTGCAGGATTTAGCGCTGGCACTGACTTGGGTCAGACATGTTGGTCTCTTTCGTGATGAAGAATCAATCAAGGCTGTTGCAGTCACCAAGGAGAAGTATGGATCGGTTCATCGAGTTTTCGTCGTGTGCTGCAAAGATCATGTCATTAAAGAAGAATACCATAGGTGGATGATCGAAAACAATCCACCCGATGAGGTGAGGTCGATTTCGGATTCGTATCATACGGTCATGTTTTCAAAACCCGACGAACTGTGCTCTTGCCTTCAAGAAATTGCAGACAAATACATTAGAGGAAGCCATTGATGGCTACTCTCAATACTTTGGCTTTTAGTTTACTGCTTCTAATACCTTAAGCCATAAATAAAAGTGGTAGTCGTTTTCATTGTGTATAAAATATAATCCCATGATTTGTCATGCCACTAAGATATTACCATAGATTCATGGTGGATTTTATTAATTAAAAATGACATCTTGTTAACATGCAATACTGTATGAAAAACATTAAGCATATCTGTTTGCAATGTCCAAGAGAATGTGAGAAAGTTGTTTGGTTTTGGAGAACATTGGCATATGATCGGCACCAGAGATCTCCATCACAGCTTGAGGGGGATTGTTGCTGATCATCCAGCGCTGGTGTTCCAAGTGCATCCCTTTATCCTCCTCGCAAACTACAAAAACCCTTGTCACTGATCCATACCCTTGTTCCGAGAATTTCTTCGCCTTGGACAATTCATGTTCGTACAATGATCCTGGCCTCACCAGTGTTTTCGCCAGTTCCAGGTCCTTCAGAAGAAAAAATATACTCAGCAATTTATTTTATTTATGTTATACCTTCGGAAACTTAATTTTATCTTACCAAATAGAATTTCTCCGCTCACCTACTAAGATCATATTTAGAGACATTTGTTCGAAATAAAGAATCCTCAACGACACTTTTAATAAGTCTTTTAAAATTGTATTTGTACACTTTATTTTACTGATTTTTCAAATTCGATCAAAAAAATTTATACTTTCTACCTAAAATTCTATCCGACCCGAGCTTAAGGTTGTTTTACTCGATCCAAAATTCGATACTACTTTTGAGATAAAATCATACTCCGGTCAAAATCAACTCTACTCGACCCGACCCGACCCGAAAATATAAATGTATTAATTGCATTCAATAAAATAGAGACTTAATTGAAAAGAATAATATAAAAATGAGTATTATTGCATTATCCCTAAATATATAATATATAATTATATTATTTTCGGGACGGGCCAGGTCATATATTTTCACCTAAACTCAAACTCTACCCGACCCAAACCTATTCTCTAAAAAACTCGACCCTAACTTTTTTAAAAACACTCGACTCAATCGGAGTAGGTCATATCAACACCTATAAATTTGGATCTCATACCCAATTATCCATCCCTAATCATAACTCTAAACATGACACGAACATAAATTCCAATGATAAAGAGGAAAAAGGACTTCTCTTTCTAGAACTATTTCTACTTTGAGGCAAATTATGTATAAGTTTTCTATCATATATGTATCATTGATATCTACTTTAAGGCAAATTATGTACAACTTTTCTATCATATATGCATCATTGATATCTACTTTAAGGTAAATTCTGTACAACTTTTCTATCATATATGTATCATTGATATCATGGATCGATTATCGTCTGATTACCAATTACAATTCTTCACTTAAATTAAAAAAGATTAATTACCCACAATCTATATATTCAGTTGATTCCTATCAACGATTTACAAGGAAAATATGTATGACATAATGTTAAGATTAGTCACTAACGTTTACTATAATGGTTATTTTGACCCGTATTTCTTTTTATAATATTTTGATCTCTAACATTTTATTTTGGGAGAAAAAAGATCCCTCTACGAACAAAAATCATTACTTAACACTCTAAAATAGAAGTTTTTTACCCTAAAATAAAACATTGAGGACTAAAATGCTCTAGAAAAAAAAGCAAGAGCCAAAATGGCTATTCGGTTAAACCTTAGGAGTATTTTTGTTCTAAAATGAAATATTATAAGTAAAAATACTTTTTAAAAAATATACGATTTTTTATTCTAAAATAAAACGCTAGAAACCAAAATACTTTAAACAAAAGAATATTAACAAAAATGAGGATTTTAATCATTATTACAAGCTAATTTTACCATTATGTGAATATGTATCAAAGGATAAAATACACGGGGACGGAATTTACCTCAACAGGGGATAGGTGATAGAGCTGGTATAAGAAATTTGGGCCCATTGTTCTTATCGTGAAAGGTTCTTCTGGGCTGCCTACGGTCACGGCTTCAAAATCTGAGGAGTTACTTTCCTCTGTGCCCCCCGCAAAATACTTCAAACAAAGAAATTACAACATTTGATTCTATGAGCGTTAGATATGTGTTGGACATGGATATGTTCAATATCCAAAAAAAAAAAGCCGAAAACAAGTTGATAAGTACCTTTTCTATGACATACGAAGGTTGGTGTGCAGTATCCGGCATAAAAGCCGTTACGAAAACGCCGGCCGAGATCTTATGTGGGAACAAATCCATGGCAAGGGCCAAATTCATGCCTCCTAAGCTATGTCCGACGAGGATGGCCTGTTCGTTCAGAGATGCCAGGAACTCCAACAACGGTCTACTGTATTCCTCGAACTTACCAACATCATGGATTGCCTTCATGTTTACACCAGAGCCTGATAGGTCCAGCACTATGACCCTGTGACCGTATGACTCTAGCTGCGGTTTCAGCTTGAACCAGGTCCAAGCACCGTGGCACATACCATGTACTAGAACAAAATGCTTCTGGTTCTTTCTCTCCGCCATTGTGTGTGTGTGTATGTTTTTTTTTTGGGTGTTAAATGTTATGGTTGTGGTTCATTCATAATGCACTTTAAAGGTCTGGAGTGTAGATCCATCACACGATGATTATCGACGAGAAGAAAGAGAAATTGAAAAGATAACCATAGTTGGAAGCAAATTGGGTCTCTGTCGGCTTGCAAAACTTCTAGGTTTCTCTGGTTTACTTTTGGGTAAAGTACTTAAATCGTCCCTCGACTATAAAATATTATTTTATTGAGTTATACGACTATTAAAAGTTATAAAATAATCTTTTGACTATAAGATATTGTTTTATTGAATCATCGATTATTAAAAATTATGAAACAACTACTCGACTATTCATAAGTTCAAACTTATTCTTTTTTATTAAAAAATTAATTGACGCTACATTAAGCATTGACATTACATGAAACAACGATAACATAACATAACGTGTTTACAGTTCAAACGGTTATGGGAGCAAATTTTATCATATCCCAGTTAGCCACCAATTTTTAACCAAAAAAGGATAAATCTAGAATATATAAATAGTCGAAGGACTATTTTATAGCTTTTAATAGTCAATGATTCAACAAAACAACTTCATATAATCGAAATACTATTTTATAGCTTTAATAGTCAGAATACACAACAACAAAATATTCCATAGTCGAGAGATTATTTATATAATTTGCCCTTAACTTGTTTAATTATTGAATTGAATAACATTATCTATAAGATACGTATGAATTTATTTAAACAAAATTACTATAATGAAACTACAACAAAAGAAATGTTAGAAACAAACGTATTTATGATTAAAAATAAAATATTATTTTATCAAAAATATTTAAATAAAATTAAATAATTTTATAACTATAATTTGATACCAATAATCAGGTGAGATGAGACATTAATTGATTAATAAATTAGATATAGGTAATTATAAAAAATAATTAAAATTTGATTGACTTATACTATTAAGACTTTTCTGGTTAAATTTCTTAGTTGAGAAATGTAAAACGTTATGGGTTATCTCACACCCAATTTGGGTTTTTAGAATTTACTAAAAATTCCACCTGTCTAAATTGAGCTTATAAGTTTCTGTGGTACTTAATTGAAATGTTTAAGATTGTAACTGACTGTTGTTGTTGAATGATTTAATTTATAAAGAAATTGTTTAATTGAATTTATTTAGATTCATTGTAAAAAAAACAAAAATGGTTTAGTTTTCTTAGTGTTATTTGTTAAATAATTAATGTAGTAAAAAAATCCTCGTTGACCAGACCTTGGGTTGAAAGAGACAAGTAATTCTACTGTACTTAATATATAACTTAAGAAAATATACTTATGGAAATGTTAATATTTTTTTAATATTTTTGGTAAAATATTATTTAAAATATTATTTTTTATCAAAAATGTTAATTTTATTATCTAATTTTCGATAGAAAAATAACATTTTAAGTAGTGTTCAATGTTAATATTTTTGATAAAAATAATATTTTAAATAACATTTTACTAAAAATATTAAAAATATTAATATTTTTCATAACACATTAATTTAATCGTATATTAAAGTATTTTTCCTGATACATCCGGAAAGTAACAACTCGTAGCAAATCGAAACCATTTTGTAAATCAAAGTGATAGAGAATTTTAGTCGACTAGGCTTTCATTACTCCCTTGATCAAGGCTGGGGTTGAAAGGGACAGCTCGTAACAAAGTACAATCATTTAGCAATTTGAACATTTTAGTTAAATTTCAAAACGTGACGTGAGCAGCTACAGTTGATTGGATGAGTAAGTTGTTTATTTTTATTTTTTCCTTAAGTTATATGTTTTAAACTCACTAGAAATAATTCTATTCCTTCTCTTAAAGTTTCCATTCCAATCAGTAATACATTTCAAATATAAAGATCACGTAACATCAACTCAAATAAAAAACACTACATAATAAAACAATCTTAATAATAATATTAATCGTGATATCTTAAATTTTATTTAGAAAAAAACTATCCTCCCCTAATTTATAATCACCCAATATTCTTCACTATTTCTGTAAATTTTATATTTAATATTTTTAGTAGATTATCAATTCTATTTTTGTTCTTTTATAAAATACTAGAATTCTATGAATGAGTGACAAATATTTTAAAATTAATTGTATTTTAAAAATATTTTTAAAATTGATAAAATATACTTTTGAAATTTTAAAAATAAATAAAAATTCTTTACAGAATGAAAATTGTATTTAAGTCTCGAAGATCTAACTACTCATTCATTAACTAGGAAAGAAGTTGTCGTTAAAAAATAACATATCTAACAAATTGATATCTAATTAACTTGGGATGCCAATTCAATTAGAATCTTTACATATAGTATTTGTCTAAATGCAAAGAGAATATATTAAATATTATTTTCAAAAATGTAAAACATAAATGATTTATCAACTATTAGTTCAATTGGAAGGATAAGACGTTAAATTCTCTCAAACAAGATCGGGAGTTTAAATCCTACTATTATGAATGGAAAATTTTGGATTAAAAGAGCCACCTCTATAATAAAATCCTATAGTACCCTATCCGAATTAGTCGACTAAAAGATCAAGCAATAGGTCAGATACTAATGGTTATAAATAAAACAAATGATTTTTTTCCACATAAGGTGGCAAATTATATTTATTTTGTAAAATACTATTGTTCACCCATAGAGTAGGTGACACATTCCAGTATCATACAATATAAAAACATGACATGAATCCAACGCGCTTAAACATGGAAACGATATAACATACACAAATTATATCTATTAAAAAAATACTATTGTTCACCCATAGAGTTCCTTTAAGTAATAGTGTTATACAGTCAAGGATGGCATCTTAAGAAAGTAAAAGGATAATAGATGGCATGTGATATTTACAAGCTGATGAATTCAGTCTTGCACCATGCTATTATACCTTCAGATATTATAATCCAGCTTGTCTGCCTCATTAGCTTTCGTCTGATCATCACTTTGCTTTGTTACAAATTCTATTCGTGCATTTAAGAATATTTCAAGTATAGGAACAGTTTTTTACCCGAGTTGAAAATGCTTGCCCGGTCCAATAATCAGCTGAGCATGGTTGGATGCCCGCTGTGAAGCATCCTCTTGATCATGTCCATTCCGAACGCAGAATCTGATGAACTGAGTAATGGCAGCACAATATTAACTCACCATTTCTAAACATGTTCCTCATTGAAACTTCCTAACAAACAGAGATGAGAATGACAACAACAGCTCATCAAAACAAAAGCAAGGAATTGGGCGCCAGTCAATAGATCCTAGTCTAGTTGATCAATTTGACGATAGCTATGTGTTGCTTAGTTCAAATATCTCGGTCAGAAAAATGTCAATCAACATAAAGCAAGTTCTAGTTAAAACCTAACTTCTTAACCATAATAAATCGTCCAAATTTCTACGTCATCATAGCTAACCGATAAAAACACTTGGAATACGATATCATTTCAATTCCATCAAAAAGAAAAGCAAGCAACATTCCAGACCTCCGTTATAGATATAATACTTCATCTTCTCTTTCTTGTATTAAAAGACATGACAAACATCTTACACATCCATCACAAGCAAGAACTTATCACACTGGAATCAAGCGGTAGGATACTCGAAGCTCGACAGACAAATGTTTTCTTGTAGGAAAGCAGGCTTCTAGTTTCCAAAAAAGAAAAGAACTCTTATGATGCATTCTGATCCCATTGAAAGTGGACAAATACTATTAACAGTTTAACATTAACAGTTTACTCAATCAAGCCAAAAGCAACCCAAATATAAGTACTACAATGCGTACTCTGTAACAGATGACAATAGGGATAAATATACTTAATGCTAGGAAGTAAGTTTTACTAGATTCAAGAAGAATCTCACTGATACTTTATTCATAATTTGAGTTGGAATCTACTTTCAGATTCATCCATTAAATTTTTTAAGTATTCATCATTCGGCCAAAGCTAGTCATTTATTTCACAAACTTCTTAGACATCAACTCTATGGACTTTCCAACTTGATGTTTCAGAAAAGATTTTGAAAAGAAACACAAAAGTTCTGGTGCAAAAGGGCAGAACAAATAACAATGCAACTTGCCAACTTTTCACTACCATAATTCATGTTACACCAAACCTGAAAAAGAAAATTTAATGAAGAGAGCTTACCTTGGTATGGTAATTTCATATGGAAAATAGATAACACCCTCGGATATAGGGGGCACATGGTCCTTCTTCTCATTAACAAACTTTATTATTTGAAACAGAACCTCTCGAAGAGATGCTTCAACCATTGCTCTGCGAGAACTTCTCTCCTCAATAGCACTCTCTATCGATGAACATTATCAATCATTGAGAAAGAAGAAAATAAATTAGTTTCCTAAGAAAGTAAAGCAATTTACAAATTTTTCTAAAGTTAAGGGCATAGGCATATGGGTATACCTCCAGGGTCAACAACCACTTTGGTATGATGAGATTTGCTTGAATGGTGTTTAGGGTGTTGAGTCACATTCAAATTGACATACCATTGCTCCCAATATAAACGCTCAGTTTTGTTAGCGAACCAAAATGGCTGCTTGCTTTTTACCTCATAAAACGATAAGCATATCTGCATCACAAGAACTCATATTTGAAACAAGACGCATGCTAAAATGTAAAAGGTGATGACCATACATCACGGAACATAAGCAAAATAAAACAAAAACATAAAATAAGAGTCAAATGTTACTATATTCAAAATGAGATTGCAAAACCATAACTTAAGGAGAGATAACAGACCTGGCTTTTCTTATTGGGATGTTTTTCCACCCAACTTATGAAATGATCAATCTTCTCGTCTATTTTCTTCTCAAGTTCCACATCCCCACATTGCACCTAATTATCACAAGTGTGAATTTGGAGAACATGCAAATCCAAAGATTTCAAACGCCAGTGAAAAATCAGGAAATAAAAGCAGTAATTTTGATTGGAAAAGTAGAACTGAAAACAAAAATTACTCACATAAGTAATTTCAAAAAGCTCCAGATCAACATCTTTGGGCCGAACTAGACCTAATGCTCTATGAAACACTATTGTATGTAAAATGCCTACCATCATGAATTTAATAGGAAGAAAAATAATATTAAAACGCGCAAATTAATCAAGTAAAAAACCACTAAAAACAGAGGGGGGGGGAACGTTCGATAAACAGAATTAATTATTAAAAAAGGAAAATATAGAAATTGAACAGTGAACTTACAACGCAAAACTTCCCGTATTTCGAAATGCTCCACTTCCTAAATAGAAATTTGTAAAATTAGAGGAAAAGTAAAGCAAAATTTCAATCAGAAGCATAAACAGTATTTCAATTTGTAAGAGTGAAAGAAACAGTAAAGGGAAAAAATTGATTACCAGTTCTTTGAGTTGACAGACTTCGCAATTCATGATGATAATTTCAAGAGGAAAAAACCAAAACAAACAATTAAAAAACAAAAATAAATTAGGGAAAATTGGATCGATCAAACCCTAGATCTCGATCGTAGGCTTTGGTGAATTGCGATCTTTTAATCATTGAGAGTCCTACTTTAATCGATGAGAGTCCTACTTTTACTTTGTTTAAGCTTGCAAAAAACTTATTCGATGAGAGTCCTACTTTTGTTTTACATAACTAGTCACCTAAATTTACGTCTCGTCTCGTTTTGGTCATTAATCTATAAAATGTTTCAATTTTGTCAAACGTTTTCGAATTGATTTTTTGTCATCAAGCCACTAATTTCTTTCAACACCATTAGACCTCCCATTACCTTACTTATTTTAAAGACCCTTAATCAATAGCTATTTGTGAAAAGTTTAGTATTAAAATATCGTTTTTTCTTTGAAATTATATTTTGTACAATTAATTTAAAATCGAAATTTTTTTATCTTAAGAATCGATGTTACGATATTTCAATTTCCTTCGACTTTCATTCAATGAGATTATTTTCAAAATTACTCATTTTTGAAAGAACATTTCTTTCCGTTTAGATTTTTAGTAGATTTTCTATGTTTGATGTCATATATTTTAAAGAGATTTGGAATTATCTAAATTAATAAGTGATAGGGTACAAAGAAGTGTATTCATCGATGATTAAGATAGTCGTAAAAGATATATATAAAAAAATGATGGTTTTCAATGATGATTATAAATGAAAAGTTTAAATTTTGATAGAGTCTGTAATGCATATTAGTATAAAAATATCACTTCATTCGGTTGTAAACATATAATGGTTTAGTGACCAAAAGAATCAATTCGAAAAATTTAGTTGTAAAATGAAAACTTTTTTATTGTTGAGTAACCAGAACAAGATAAGGTCTAAATTCCACTGACTAATGGTTTAGATTATCCTACAATTAAAATGGCTTACGTAACCAAAAAAAATATGACGTGTTAACTCTGGACTTATTTTAATTGATTTCAGTATTATGAGTCCTCGCAGTCAAGAATTTATCAACAAGGCCCATATCGGGCCAACCGGTTATTCTGTTGGGCCCATATCGGCCCATAAAGGAAGTTGTAAATAGATACGGATTTATTTAGATTAATTATTTATTATATTTATGGTATTCATTTTAAAATTTTATTTATTATATACATCTCTAAAAGTATTTTTAATTCGACATTGCTTGAATAGGATTAGATAGAGAAGCAAACTTAGTCACACAATAATCAAGCTTTAGTCATTTTGTTCCCAGCCCAATCTCCAACAGTCTCTTTTCCTACGCCAATCGTATGGTCTACTTATGACCCCATCGTCTTCTTTCTCCAGCCGCTGTTGTCGATACAACATAAATTTATTAATCGGTGACTGTTGAAAACCGACTTTTAAGACATACACGGGATGAAAACAACAGTGGAAAAACAGGTGATCGGCGTCAGTTTAGTTATTACATGTTGGATTAATTTCTTGGATTTAAACAGTTTTGTGTATAAATTGAATTAAAACGTGCCGTCGTCGCTATAACTTCGGTTAGTGGTTTGCGAATTCCAAGTCTACCCAGAATCTCTGAAACGCTGATGCTAGATGTCTGGTCTTTGGAAATGAATTTTACACGCGGAGAAGACAAAGCTGGAGACAGATTTGCAGATTCATTGAATTGTTTGAACGTTTTTTCACATTAAACAAAAAAGGACTACTGTTTACCCTCCATTTCCCATGTTGGTAAAGCCATTTATATTCTTCTTGAAACTAGCATTCTACACTGTAATCAAACATTCCCCCGTCTTTCCATTTTCCCAATATTATTTGGGATCTTCAATGAAGATCACTGTTGAGATTGGCATATAATCACCTCAAATGTAATAAACAAAATATCCAAAACCCAGGTTTCATACGGGAACCAAATCTTGTCTTGGTAACTGAAATTTTAAATAAACAAGGAGGGGGTCCCTGTGCCTTCAACATGTCAGTATCATGCTACAAATTTTTTTTTTAAAGTTGCAGAGCTCCACTGAGAATCGACCCACCTGCCAGCTTTGTGTAAAAAAGACATGATCAATAGTAGTTCTGGGGGGGGGGGGAAATATCTTGTTCCTCAATTAGCTTTTCTTTGTCAGATTTGAATCCTCCATTGGATGTTCCACTTTGTTTTGTGGATGACCTATTCGATCTATTTCGAGTGCCAGAGGTGAAATTCCCCCGTCTTCTCTTCTTTATATATCATATAACATAATCCATTGAGTTGGTTCATAGGTAAATGGGAGTGTTATTTAAAAAAAAAATAAGTTCGAGTAATTATGTTTGTAAGGTATATGTATGGAAAAAAATTATGAATAAATATTACTCTTTATAATCACTGAGACTATTCCAAATATATATCATATAATATAAGATCGTGGAATGGATAAAAAGTTCCATTATGGAAGTTGTCCATTGGACCCAACACTAGGAGCTTGAGAAAAAAAAAGATAACATCCGAGTATCCCTAGGGAACATATTCATCCTAGTTCATTTACCTTTTGTTTCGAATTCTTTTGTTCAAAATTTTGAGTAATCTATACTAGTAGTGTCTGAATGGTCGATAAGGATAGTCAAAGGCTACTGACAATGCCCTGTTCCTCTCCACCAAGGTTCACTTTTACGTACAAATCAGATGAGTAAATCATGCATGCAATTCGAATTCAAAGATTGGATAATGTAGAAATTTGTCCTTGGAATCGGCATGTATACTAGGTACAATCTATAAGGGATTTTTCCAAGCATGTGGGTGGCTCAAATAGCAAGTTAGAGAGAAAATGTTGTTCGAAAAGGACCACCGATAAGTTAAATTCTCTCCCCCGAGTGGGTCACTTAATTTGCTTAAAATTACAATAATCATTTCAGTCGGTGCCAATGAATGAAAGAGCTGTCGTTTCAGATAGAAATATTTGTCCCATGTTGACAACTTGTTATATATATATATATATATATATATACACGATAAGGGAATATTGTAAACAAATTTAATTTCATGTGAATCAAACTCTTTTACTAATTCAAGAATTATTGTTATTAATTAAAACTTTAAATTCAAATATATATCTATATAAATGTATACATATTTATTATCAAATAATTGATAATCTACTGTAAATTGTTATCATTCGTGACTTAAATAGATTATAGTTTTCCCCAAATATCTAAGTCCCAGCTTCTCTTGTTATGTTTTTGTCTAGTGATACCTATAAAACACCATTTTGTTGACTCGCCACGATCATTGTAGGCTAACAAGGAAATCTTTGTCCTTTATTTTTAAATCACACTATCACTCTCAATACATGTATTCTTTTTGAAGGTTTAATGGTAGGCCCCGTTTTCCATTGTCTTCTATACCATTCCGTCCAATGAATTAATTAAATTAACAAGTGGATACATGAGCTGTTTTGAATTTAAAGTTTAAAACATTTGTTAATTAGCCTATTTAACTAAAAACAAGTGTTTAATGCATATGTATGAGTACAGAGGCAATCTGTTGTATCCGTCATCTTTGACAAAGGAGTTTGGGTGGATGACATTAGTAAGCAATTGAGAAATATATTAGAATGCATCAATTACCTATTTAAATATATTAGAATGCATCAATTACCTATTTTTCAAGAGTTTCAAGGGTAAACTACGGGTTGGTTACTTTTGCTTTAATTTTATAAATGTATGGTCACTCGATTTAAAAAACTTAATTAGTAGTTATTATTGTTTTGTTTTAATTAAGATGTGGTCATTTAACGTATCGACCTTTAAACATTTAGTCACGAGACTTTAACAGCCGTTAAACCATTAACTGGTTGATGACTTAGCACGCTAATAAAAGGGTTAAATTTTATTTTAATCCCTAAACTTTAAGTAAAATACTAATTATGAGTTTTCTTAAATCAAAAGCATTTTAGGGACAAATTTTCAATTACTCCTTTTTATTTTCTTCAACTTGCCAATTGCTGGGCATTACCCTCGGTGTTGCATTTCATGAATTCCCCAGCTCCAGTGGCCTTGTTACCACCACTCATGACTTGATTACTAGAATTGGTAAACATCCAAAAGTTCGTTGGAATCTGTCTGTGGTTCATCGGAACCTGTCTATGGTTCATCGGAACCGTTCCGGTGCTCGACTGCAATAAGTAACTCCCCATTTGATGTTCTAAAGATAAATCGTGTTTTAGGTCGTCTTTTTCTTCCTATATTACCTTCTTCGACTTCCGATATTTCTATGGAAGACTCTTGCTTAAACGAAAATATTGGGTCCAAATTACTGCCATCTGAGAAATATATTATAGTGCATCAATTATTTTAGATCGTACCTTACACTAAGGAGATGATGGCCTTTGAGGCTTGCACGAATATTAATTCCACCCAATGAAGTTGATGTCTTGGAATTGTCGTGGAGTAGGTAATCAAAATTTCATCAGGAACTGTAGAGAGTTGATTCGGGAGGAGAATCCAACCATTATTTGTCTTCTCGAAACAAAAGCAAAGACATGTATTGGTCCTTTGCTCCAGAAAAAATTGAAGTTCGATAATCATTTTGAGGTCCCCTCTCAAGGTCTCCGGGGAGGTTTAATTCTTCTTTGGAATTCTAATTCGCATGAGGTGACCATTCGGCAACACACAGACCAGGTTATCCACTGTGAAATTATAGAAGACGATAAAAGATGGCTGCTTTCCACTGTCTATATCCAACCTCATTCGCTTAAAAAAGAAGAAGCCTGGGAGAATATCTACAATTACTCTACAACTATTAATCAGCCTTGGATGATAGTGGGTGACTTCAATGACTTTGCTATATTGGAAGAACGTTTAGGCAGTAACTCCAATTGCATGAGTCGCATCGTCAAGTTTCGCGATCACTGGAATAGATGCAACCTGATGGATGTTGGATATGTTGGTAACAAGTTTACTTGGACTAGACACCTCCATGGAAGAGTCACTCTTCAGGAAAGACTCGATAGGTTACTTCATAATATGGAGATGGTCGAGTACTTTCCGAACCTTCGAGTGGCTACATTAACAAGAGTGTACTCTGACCATAATCCAATTCTGATTAACACGAATTGGGATATTCCTGGAGAAAAAGAGAAACG